AACAGCTTCATGATATACGGGAATTCCAAAAGGTAAGGACTGAGGAACATTCATCCTACATGTTTGAAAAATAATGGGATGAAACGAGGCCCAGTAAATGAAATCTCTAGTTTTAAGTTAGGAAGATCAACTTACCACTTCACCTGGCATAATCAACATGCATGCATAGCAAATGGTATGCATAGAACTTGAATGCATGTTATACTTGTTTCGTCTGGATGTGCCACAAAGTCTGAGTAATGCAACATTTCACAATACTTTCACTCAGACGCAAGCATATGATGTAAAACATTCATGCTCATGCGATTATGTTCATTACTTCATCCTCCCGAACACTCCCGGGGCTTCTCGACCAACGGGGCATCTCAACTTCGAGGCATCCCGACACACACCCGGGGCATCCCGACTAACGGGGCATCTCAACTCCCGAGGCATCCCGAAACACTCCTCGGGGCATCCCGACACACGGGGCATTGTCACACACCACTAAATGAGCGACGGAAATTATATTGTTCTCATTCAAGCCATGCCAACCAAGTATTTGCATGCAAATGTTCGCTTTGGCCCGTCCCATATCGAGCCTCACGGTGCAAATGTTCGCTTTGGCCCGTCCCATATCGAGCCTCACGGTTTTGTCTTTTAAAGCCATGAAATGCATCATTCGAGCAAATAAGTATGAAGAAGTACGGGTTCTGACTCAAAAGGCTAAAGTCTACTCAAGTTCAGAAGGTACTCATATCTAGATTTTGAGATAAAACTTCATCGATTTAGAAAATACATTTATTCAGACTTTGAAAGTAAGTTCTAGTCAGTTTTAAAAATAGACAGAACCAGATTTTGATCGTAAAGTCTGAGCAATAAGGTTTGAGCGATAAAGTTTGAGCAGTAAAGTTTGAACAGTAGGGTTTGAGTAGTAAAGTCTAAATAGTAAGGTCGGAGCAGTAAAGTCTGAACCAGTAGGGTTTGAACAGTAAAGTCTGAACAGTAGGGTCTCAACAATAAAGTCCGAAGGTAAAGTCTGAAGTAAAATCTGATCATAAAGTATGAAGATAAAGTCTGAACATAAAGTTTGAAGGTAGAGGCTGAATGTAAAGTTTGAACGTGAAGTCTGAATGTAAAGTCTGAATGTAAAGTCTGAAGGTAGAGGCTAAATGTAAAGTCTGAACGTAAAGTCTGAAGGTAAAGTCTGAATGTAAAGTTTGAAGGTTTAGTCTGAAAGTAAGGTCTGAGCAGTTTTAAAAGTAAAGTAGATAGAGCCAGAATTTTGATTTAAAATCTTTTCAGCTCAGAAGTAAACAGAATCATCATTTACACTCACCTAATATACACCATTTTGAGTAAAATGATTTTCTACCATTTTAAACATACATAAAACCAGCAAGAAGAATTCAACAATCACCTCAAAGATAACATTTACACGTTTAGATTTAACCATTACACTTGCCGATTTTCAACACACTTTAAGGAAGCAAAACACATCCATTGAAAAACATATAGAACCAGCAAAGCGATCAAACCATCACTATATCTTCACTATTATCACACATCAGAATGGCATTTCTCAAGTAACCAAGTTAAAAAGTGTCAAGTAGATTTAACTAGCTTAACTCTAGAGTCTTCACTTACCTTGTGCAAAATCTAAACACCCAAAAGTTAAAGCTCTCCCGAAGATTTTTGGACTGAGCGATGGTGAAAGTAGACAGTGAAGAAGGGTGTTACGGTTTGGGTGAAATTATCATTCGGTATTCACCCAGATGAAGATGAAACAGGAAAGTAGATGGTGAAGTGGATAAATACATTGTATTCACAGGTGGCATCTTCTCTCTTCATCACGGCCAGGTATAAGAAATCAATGGCTCATACGGTAGGAATAATGACCAAGGAAAATGATTACTTAGGCTAGGTATCTAATTAGGACAAAAGCTGGCTTAAGGGGACAAGTGGCCTTCGGTCAAACTTTCCCCTTCATAAGCCACATGAGAAAAGAAAGTCCAGAAGAGATATTTTGTGATAATATCTCCCCCCCTCCCCTCTTAACGGCAAATTAGCAAATAACAAAAGATTAACACTACTTAACCAAATTAACCACTAATATTACTCACTAATTATCAAGACAACGTTAAATTAATTAATACCACACTACTATTAACGTACACAACAACGTTTAAAATTTTAAACACATCGAGTTCGGAACGATTACGTTCCCGAATCCGCTCCTTGCAAATTACGGTCTAATAACGATTTCTACACGTCCGCACAAATACTAACTTAAATAATACTTAGCTTTATTTTCTAAGTATCATTTTCGAACATGGAAAAACTTCCGACGTCACATATATATTAATACGAAATTCCGAATGTTACAGAGTGCATGCCAACCTACTTATTTTTTTTCTCTACCTTGAAAATGAATCGCAAGCTCCTCGTGACACAATCTTGTCGAAATTGCGTGCGACTCCACATGGGCTAGATTCAGTTGGGGTCGCGCGACAGGGAAGCATATCGCGTGTATAAAAAGGTCTACTCATTCAATAACAAGTACGAGCAAGCAATGTGCACCAGATGACTATCATGATGCGAGAGTTGGAGTAGTTGAATCATCTAAAAAGCTTTAGAGGCATTGTCTATCACGTCAGAAATAGACATCACGGGCGCTTGAGATGACACAACATAAAAATTAGGATTAATACCGCGAAAAATCCTAAACTGGTATGCCTGTGACAATTTTATTCCAAACTAATTTTTTGACCATCAAAAACCTTAAATTGGTACAACTGTGATAAATTTACCCTCAGTTTATTTCAGTTAAATTTTACTGTCAAATTACTTTGTGAAATGACACGCGACAATTGACTGATATACTAATTTTATGTTTGACCCTCCATTTGTCACAGACAACCAGTTTATGATTTTTTATGGTATTAATTCAATTTAATGGAAACTAACGAAGGGTAAATTTGTCACAAATGTACCAATTCGGGGTTTTTGATGGTTAAAAAATTATTTTAGAATAAATTTATCACAAGTGTACCAGTTTAGGGTTTTTCATGATCAAAAAATTAGTTTTTGGTAAAATTGTCACATGTATACCAGTCTAGGGTTTTTCGTGGTATTAACCCTAAAAATTAAGAAATTCATATAAAATAAAAACATGAGAAGACTAAGGGCGCGCATGGAATCCATTCTGGAGCAGAAATTCTGCTCCAGAATGCATTTCGGAACAGAAATGCGTTTGTTAAAATAATTTTGGAATGCATTCTGGAGCAATTTTTGCATTCTGGAATAAAAACGCGTTTGGTGAAACTTCATTCTTTTTTTTGCTCTAGAATGAATTTTTGCTTCCAGAATGAGTTTTGGCCCAAAAAAGAGAAGCTACTTTTTGTAGCTTCTCTCTTCCAGAATGCATTCTAGCCCAAATTTCCTTTTTTACAAGAAATAAAAAATTTCAAAAAATCAAAAATTTCAAAATTTTACAAAATGGCTTAGAATACCTGTGGTTATCCACTTTGAGTGAAATTTAAATTTTTTGAGGTGTAAAAAAAAAATCAAAAATTTCAAAATTTCACAGAATGGCTTAGAATACCTGTGGTCACCCACTTTGAGTGAAATTTAAATTTTTTTAGGTGGCCAAAAAAATAAAAAAAATAAAAAATTTCAAAATTTTACAAAATGGCTTTGAATACCTGTGGCCACTCACTTTGAGTGAAATTTAAATTTTTTGATGTGCCAAAAAAAATCAAAAAATAAAAAATAAAAAATTTTACATAATGGTTTAGAATACCTGTGGCCACCCACTTTGAGTGAAATTTAAATTTTTTTAGGTGCCAAAAAAAAATCAAAAAATCAAAAATTTCAAAACTTCACAGAATGGCTTAGAATACTTGTGGCCACCCACTTTGAGTGAAATTTAAATTTTTTGAAATGCCCAAAAAAAAATAAAAAATTTCAAAACTTCATAGAATGGCTTAGAATACCCGTGGCCACCCACTTTGAGTGAAATTTAAATTTTTTGAGGTGCCCAAAAAAATAAAAAAAATAAAAAACTTTAAAATTTCACATAATAGCTTAGAATACCTGTGGCCATCCACTTTGAGTGAAATTTAAGTTTTTTGAGGTGCCCAAAAAAATTTCAAAATCAAAAATTCAAAATTTCACAGCATGACTTAGAATACCTGTGGCCACCCACTTTGAGTGAAATTTAAATTTTTTGAGATGCCCCAAAAAAAATCAAAAAATTCAAAATTCAAAATTTCACAGAATGACTTAGAATACCCGTGGCCACCCACTTTGAGTGAAGTTTAAATTTTTTGTGGTGCCCAAAAAAATCAAAAATAAAAAATTTTAAAACTTCACAAAATGGCTTAGAATACCTGTAACTACCCACTTTGAGTGAAATTTAAATTTTTGCACCTCCAAAAGCAGAAATTCCCTTATGTTTCATCAAACAGATTTCTCTTCCAAAAATCAATTTCTGGAGCAGAATTAGCCATGTTTTATCAAACAGATTTGTCCTCCAAAAATCAGAATTTCAGAAATTAATTTCTGGCAAGAATTTGATTTATGGAGCAGAATGGATTCCTTGCGCGCCCTAAAAGTCTGCACGCTCCCTGGGCTCGTGTGCTCGACCTAAGCGGCCACGAACGACATGCCACGGGCAAGCCCGGATCGCGGCACCCGCTTCGGGTTTTCAACGCCGGGACCGCTCGGATCACGCAACTTCGAGGCGAGAGATCGACCACGCCGGACATCCATTCTCTCTCAGCGTTGCATGGTAGCCATGAAAATCCGTCCATTGTCTTCCTCCCGGTAATGAGTCGTCCTCCGGTCACCTCACTCCGGCGGCAAGAAGAGCCGAAAAGACGAGAAAGAAAAGAAAAGAAAAGAACTCGCGGACACCCGCCACGTCATCCTCCCCTCCTAGCTGGATCTAGTCAGCACCCCCACCTTCACCTCCACCGCCGCCGTCCGCCGCCTATATATATCTCCGCCCCGCCTCGCCCCTCTCTCTCTATCACTCTCTCTCTCTCTCCAAATTTCTTCTACGCACTTCCGATCTTGGCAAACCAACCTCCTTCCGACCATTGACCCGACCGCGCACATACCTCCGCCGTCGCGAACGAAAGTTAGAGAGAGAGAGAGAGAGAGAGAGAGAGAGAGAGAGAGAGAGAGAGAGAGAGAGAGAGAGAGAGAGAGAGAGAGACAATGACCACCTCCTTGCTCGCTTCTCTCTCCTCCGTCGCGCCCCACCTCTTCTCCATCCTCGCCCTCCTCGCCCTCCTCGAGCAGGTCTCCTACATCCTCAAGAAGCGCTCCCTCCCCGGCCCGCCCCTCGTCCTCCCCTTCCTCGGCGGCGCCGCCCGCCTCGTCGCCGACCCGGCCGGCTTCTGGGACCGGCAGTCCCGCCTCGCCGCCGCGTCCCCGCTCGGCGTCTCCGCCAACTACGTCATCGGCCGCTTCATCCTCTTCGTCCGGGACACCGAGCTGTCCCACCGGGTGTTCGCCAACGTCCGCCCCGACGCGTTCCACCTCGTCGGCCACCCCTTTGGCAGGAAGCTCTTCGGGGAGCACAACCTGATTTACATGATGGGCCAGGAGCACAAGGACCTCCGCCGCCGCATCGCCCCCAACTTCACCCCCAAGGCCCTCTGCACCTACACCTCCCTCCAGCAGATCATAATTCTCAAGCATCTCGAGAAATGGGTCGATCTCTCGTCGCCCCCGGCGGCGGCGGGCCAGCCGCCGAAGGCCATCGCGCTCCGGCTGCTCGCCCGTGACATGAACCTCGAGACCTCCCAGACTGTCTTTGCAGGTAAGACCGAGCTCCATTGATGATGTGATGGACAATGACAGATTATGAAAAAGGCGGGACCGCTACTCTTGCCTATTTTAGTGCTTAACATATGGTTTTCTTCGGACGTATATGTGTTGTGATTCATGAAATTTATGCAAAATCTTATGTCCTGCCCTCGAGCTAAAAATTTGCCTACTTTTCTTTTTTTAATGCTTTTCCTCCTAGTTTAAAGTCTTGTGTATGTCGCTGCTGCGGACATGGATAATGACATTGCAGCAGCAAGTGCGCCGCAACTTTCTTTCTTTCCCAATTCTGTTTTTCGACGTGTGATCGAGTTGATGCCAACTTTTACCGGATGGTAGGGCCGTACTTGAGCCGAGAAGAACGCGAGAGGTTCGACGTGGACTACAACCTGTTCAACGTGGGGCTGATGAAGCTGCCCTTCGACCTGCCCGGGTTCGCGTTCCGGAAGGCGAGGCTCGCCGTGGACCGGCTTGTGGAGACGCTGGCGGGCTGTGCGGGGAAGAGCAAGGAGAGGATGGAGAGAGGGGAGGAACCATGCTGCCTGATCGACTTCTGGATGCAGGAGACGGCGAGGGAGGTCGGCGCGGCGAGGGAGGCGGGGGAAGCGGCTCCCCCGCCGCACTCGGGGGACCGGGAGATCGGCGGCCACCTCTTCGACTTCTTGTTTGCGGCTCAGGACGCGTCCACTTCGTCGCTGCTGTGGGCCGTCGCGCTCCTTGACTCGCATCCGCAGGTTCTTGCCAAGGTGAGTAGCTTCTATTTCTTCCCTTGGTGTTTTTCATGTAACAGCAAAAGTCCAACGTTAAAAGGACAGTTTCGGTTAGAAAAACGAAGAGAAAAAAACATTACCCGCCCAAAAGCGCGTATTTTGCGTAATTTTATTACAATAATTTGAGAAGCTTTTAGGATCATTTGCTTGATATAACGGCTATTAATTTCTCAAAAAAAAAAAAGGTTTCTCTAAAAAAAGTTAAATTCATTGATAATAACGAGATACGTGTAATGTGTACTGAATCGAGCGACTACACTCATTTGTCTACGGAAATTAGCCGGTGTGTTTGGAACAGGAATCTGTCACGTCCGATGGAGATTATAATTAGTGGGGGTGCTTGAAGATCTCTGGACGCCCCGCTAGTTATGCTAAACTTGGCTAGTTCATAAGATATATAATGGAGAACAGAAAACACAACGATGGCGAGTAGAAATGAGTCAAACTAATCCATCTTTGTAGGAATTAGACGTGACTAAGGCCCTCTTTATTTCACGAAAAATAAATGATTCGAAAAAAAATTTCCTCAAATCGATCGCCTGTATCTTGGATGATGAAAATATTATTCGTATATTCATTTTTGCAGGCGATCATTTTTTCAAGAAATAAGCAAAGTCTAAGCATACTGTCTAAACAAATCTAACCATGTCATCATTTGAATTTGATTATTGGGGCTCATCGATGATTATTTGAATCTTGACAAGTGTCATGCCACCCTCCTTAAATTTTTTTTTACATAGTATACTGTTTAAAAATATAATTAGTGGAATTTCTTGGTCAAACTCCCCTTTTATCTCAAGCTCATCAATGCCATCATTAGTTACGGCGACGATGCCATTGTCATTGAGTCGCTTTCCGACGTCTTTCCCTCCCTCGCCGACCAATCTCCGCCCTTTCCCTCCTCTTTTTTTGGCGACAGGTGCGCGACGAGGTCGCCGGAATCTGGTCACCGGATTCGGACGGGTTGATCACCAGCGACCAGCTGAGGCAGATGAAGTACACGGAGGCGGTGGCGCGCGAGGTGGTGCGGTACCGTGCCCCGGCGACAATGGTCCCTCACATCGCCAGCGAGGAGTTCCCGCTGACCGACTCATACACGATCCCAAAGGGCACCATCGTCTTTCCTTCGGTGTTCGAGTCCTCTTTTCAAGTAGGGCTACGAAAGTGTCCGGATTACTTAATAAGTATATTTTAGTCGAGATACTACATTTTTAATATTAGTGATTACATATAACACGTGAAAAAATTATACAAAATTTCTCTAAATTAATTATTTAATTTGTACTTTTAGAGAATTAGTTAACAAAACTCCTTTGAATTATTTAATGAGTTGGTCAGCGTACCAATTCATGTCTATTTAGTATGGATTGTGATCGGATCACATTAGTCTTGGATTTTCTATTAGGGTTCGCTTGTTTCATGAAAAATGAATAATTTTTAAAAAATATTTTCCTAAAAATGATTTTTTGAAATAATTAGTCAATAAAAAATATTTTTATTTTCACGATAATTTATGTAATGAAAATATTTTCCATTCATTTATTTTTGTAAAAGATAAAAAACGATCATTTTTAATAAAAATGTTTTCAAAATCATTTATTTTATATGAAACAAACTGAGCCTTAATGACCTTATACCGTGCTAGACAAACGACGTTATTGTGGCGTGTCGGAAATTGACATCTCGAGCCGTGCAGGGGTTCACCGAGCCGAACCGCTTCGACCCGGATCGGTTCTCGGAGGAGCGCCGAGAGGACCAGGTCTACAAGAGGAACTTCCTGGCCTTCGGGGCCGGTCCCCACCAGTGCGTGGGCCAGAGGTACGCGCTGAACCACCTGATGCTCTTCCTCGCGATGTTCACGACGCTGGTCGACTTCCGGCGGGACCGGACGGACGGCTGCGACGACATCACGTACGTCCCCACCATCTGCCCTAGGGACGACTGCCGGGTCTTCCTGTCCGCGCGATGCGCCCGATTCCCTCAGCTCTCCCTACACTGAATCCCCCGAGGGCAGGAAAGGTCGAAAATGGCCCCCCCACCCCACCTTTGCCGGATCGTTATAAAGAAAGCATCGTGACTCGTGGGTGGTACAGTGATATGGTGGACTTCTCGAGGGTGTTTCAGTCAAATGAAGCTCATTTCTTTTTTTCTTTTCTTTTATTAATTTTTCTCTTTTTTTTTTAAAATTTTTTTTCTTAATTTAAGGTTTATAAATCTCGTCTTCAAAATCTGTGGGCACGTATGTACAGACATTGCAGTGACAGATAGGATTCTTTTGGAGGGGAGTGCGTGGTGGGCATTGATTGGAGTTGAATTGCTACGTGGGACATTGAAATTATCAATCGAATTAATAAAAAAAAAAAGCGAAAAAAAAATCAGTATTTCTTTCACCCTTTTCTTTTCTTAATTCATTTTTTACAATTCGGATAAGGTTGATTAATTTTTTCGGGGTGAAAAAAAAAAAACAGGAGGAGGAAATTTTGCAATTGTTTAAGGTTGTGATTTTGGAGACGAACTTGAAAGGGGTAGGCTGTCGATGGCAACATTTGCAGCTGGCAGTTCACAAGACGAGCTGTCGTGTGATTGGTCCGCTTCCTTACTTTTCTCTTATTTATTTATTTATTTATATTTATTTCTTGCCGTTTTTGTTCGGTTGGGTGGTTGGAAAGCGTTGGGTGGAGCTGACGTGGCGCCTGTCTCGTCGTTGGTAGTTACCTTGTCGGGGCACACCAACGTAATACCCGGACGCACGTGGGAGAGCCGATGGCCGTGACCGTGATGTGAGGTGGTTTGCGGAGGGCTTTCTTTTTAGAGCACTTTCCACCCAAGGCAAAATATGTGGATTCGAGAGTTCTTTTAAAACCAAAAAAAAAAAAAAAAAAAACAGCGGATCAACACCGGAGTCGAGGCCCTCGCCGCTTGCAATAGCCGGCGGAGGCGTTGGTAGGGGTCGGGCGACACAGGCGAGTGCTCGCCTGGGGTCACGCACGGGGGTGGCTGGGGCTGGCGAACCTCTGCGGCTATCGCTTGTGATTAGGCAAGGAGCTGCTTTCTGTTTGCACTTGCGAAGGCCCCGCAAGTCTGAATGATAAAATCCGACTGTACCCGTGGTCTTGTAAACTGCTGTGCTAACTATATCTCGTGCTGCTTGCCGAATATGCAATGTTCGCAAAAGTCCAGCTTCTCGATTTTCTAATTACACAGAAGACTGCCCGCTCACTCCATATGTTTGTACATCTTTTGTAATGACCCCGTCTAACAAGGGCAATCAGAGAGGGCTTGGACAAGGAGTGGCTTCGAGCATGCTTCTAGAATGACGAAAGGGGCGGGAATGAATTGAATTGTGCACCAAATATGAGGAGAGCGATTTTGATATATTTATTTATGTGAAAATTTGAATTAACTCACATAGATGCCTTTTGATATAATGACAATACTTAGTTTTGGAACTCTAAAGTTAAGCGTGCTCTGTACACAAAAGGATAAAATTGTGAGATTTGATATAGGACGAGCCAAAGCAGACAATATTTCACTAAGTTAATTCAGGAATGTCACAATATGATATCAAATCGGGATCCTCTCCAGTAGGTGTATGGTTCGGAGATGAACCACACGAAACCTATTGGGCCTATAACGACTTGGTTAGACGAGGTGGGGAGTGATCGCTGGGACCAGAGAGGGCTTGGGCAAGGAGTGACTCCTAGTAAGTTTCTAGAATAGTAAAGGAATAGGAATGAACCGAACTGTGCACTGAACATGAAAAGAGCAATTCTGAAACATATATGTGAAAATTGGAATTATCTTCCAAATGTGCTTTTTGACGTAACGACAATGCGTAACTTTGAAATTCCAAAATTAAGCGCGCTCAGGTGGGAGCACTCTTGGGAATGTGCTCACCTGTATGGTAATGACAAAACTATGAGGTTCCGTATTGGACGAGACAAAGCAGACAATACCTCAGTAAGTTAAATCCATGATATCACATCTTCCAAACATGTGCTTGAGTTGCATGTGCCACAACTCATGTCTAGTATGACTCTAATAACATGAATGAAATTGCGACAGCTGAACATGTCACTGTCTAACCCTGAAAGTAGTGGAGACTACCTGCCCTCTTCCCCTTCATCACCACGAGTGCACCTTTGATAACCTTTGAGCCCTATATGTCGATCAAGCTCTTTGCTCCACTTTTCTGATTGTCGCCCTGCAGCTTCTTTTGTCAATTCTTTGTAGAACAATACAGACTCTACTTCTTCCCCGGCTATAGTCTCGCTCCCTCTCATCGGAGCATCACGAAAGTGCTCATAAGAATTGGGCAAATTACAAAGCAACTTCATAGCTTGCCACTGATCAGATATCTTCTCACCACATTCTTCAGATAGTTAACGACTTTGTTAAACTCATTTGGGTGATCCTGGATTGATGTTTCCTCAACCATCTTGAAAGTGAAGAACCGTTGGATTGGGAAACGTTTCATCGAGAGCAATTTCGACATATACAACGCTCCAATTTTGCCCAAATTGCAGCTGCCTCGTCTCATCTGCCACTTCAACCAAAACACCATCCCCAAAATTCGACGATATAAATACTCCTAACCTCTTCAAAATGTTAGTCTTTTCTTCCGTTTTCATTATCTGGGGAAACTTGTCATCTTCTTCCAATGCTAAATCCAAAACGGATGTCTCCAACAGCGCATCTTAATGTACCACAAGTTATGATTATTCCCGCCTGATAAATTTCTCCAACTTGAATTTCATAGAAGCTATAGCAATAATTGCAAATGGACAAAATTCCTAGAATAATCCACCAACAATAACCCTAGGCTCCGATACTAGTTTGGTATGGTTAGTGTGGAGGCGTGAACAAACGAAACGATTTGAAAAATAAATAAACTGCAAAAATAAGATCTAACCACAACGGATTAACGTGATTTTGTCGTGTCTTTATTTTACGGGGCAGATTCATGAGAAGGTTCCATAATAATAGGTAAAGAAGAGATTAAATTCGTTTAATCACACTCACTCATAAGTGCTTTCTGAACTCACAAGAGATAATCACAACAAAGAAGTTTTTTAATACACTCAACACTCTTCGATAACGACTTTCAATGCTCTCTCTGTCTTTCACTATTTTTCACACATCTTTATTACACTCACTGTACACCGGAGACCAAACTCAACAGCACAATATTTACATTCCACAAACTTTTAGATACCCTTTGAAGTCAACATGGACTTCAACTTCAATAAGCAAAAGAAGTCTCGTGGGAAACTAATTTCTCTTCTTCGCACCATCCACGATCCTATTGGCAAGAGCTCAATCCGGACTTTTCTAATATAAGCCGACCTTTCTTGCAATTCAATTACGGTTCGGATCTCAAATCAATTGGAATCAACTTCGAGCCATAGTCAACACTTTGCTCGTTACATACGTGAATTTATAATTCATCAACCAGTATTATATGATTGGAGAAAATTTCCCCCAACTAGGGATCGAAAAAATAAAGATAGCCCATCACGCTAAATATGTACCCACAGTATCTTTGTGAGACAACAGATCCGCCCCACAAAATCACCTTAAACGTTTGGAAATTGGCCGTGCTATTCGCCTTTAAGAACAATTCTTGTTACTATTCGCCTGGGCTTTAAGCCAATGAAACGGAATACAGTTTTCTAATTTTTAAATATATATATTTAATTACAATGAGCATACTTAGAATTTTATAATTTATTCTATTTTACTAAATGGCTCGGACTGTCAGATATTTATATTTAAAATATCTATCAGCAAGTTCATTGCATGTAAAAAAAAAACAATGGTCGAAGAGCGCACACCGTATTACAGTTTAGATAGAGAGTGCCATTTCATTACGGTTTAGATAGAAAGTGCCATTTCATTATTCTAAGAATCCACATAGGGGGTCAAAAAGTACATATTAGAGTTACAATACAACTTGCAAGAATAAAAAAAAGGGAAGAAAAGACTACAAAAGAGACAATGGGAAAATAAAAATAAAAACGAGGAAGTGGAAAGAGAAACATGCGAGAGTGGATTTCGGAACTCCCATATTACATCCCCAACTTTCTTACTTAGATACATTAACATTTCTAATGGGAAATTGTCCAACCAGTCCTGAACCTATTCTACGGATGCCAATTCAGTCGTAAACTTTTAAATTTTGCTAATGTAGTTTTAAATCTTTGTGTGAAATTTCAATGTGGTCATTTTGGCCGATTTGCGCTGGAAACTGCTGATGTGGCAATGTACCGCGTATGATGGCCAGCGATGACTTAATCGCCATGTTAGCGATATCCGGCGAAAAGTCTACCTATAAGACCACATTGGAATTTCGCATAAAGTTTTAGGATTATATTAGCAAAATTTATAAGTTTAGAACTAAATCAACATCCGTATATTTTTCCATATTCTCCCACGTATAGGACTTTTCTTATGTTTGCCAAGCTTACTCAGCATTTGAAGTCCATTCTTGAGTATAAAAAGAGCTTTTCACTCGCAAATTTTACGGTCCAGAATTATTCATGCGGCCACCGAACCGTTCACTCTACGACCACGATTTTAACCTATTAAACTCAAGGCTACTCCAAAGCTAAGCTACGAACTTTACCAACCAAACCCTAGCCACTCTCTCAGTCTATAACCGATATCAACAACACCTCTTCAATTTGGAGGGGAGAGAGAGAAGTTCAAAATGGGATTGATTATTGTGTTTGATTTTGCATCTAGTTCTACGTGATTTGTCGAATCAATAACTATTGAAAACGAGATCTCTCCGTAGGTATGTCGTTGGCGAACGAACCCGGCAAGAAGTGGTGGGCTTGTATCAATTCGATCCGATAAGTGCGGGGAGTAATTATAGGATCAAAGAAAGAGCCTGAATAAGAACTTTTCCCAATTGGTACACTCATGTATCATATTTACCCAAATTAATTTTCGTGTCATAAAAAAACTCAATTTGTACACTCAAGTCACATTTGCCATTTGTTAACTTCCATCAATTTTTCTGTTAAATGGCTGATGTGCAATGACATGATAACAATTTGGATGACGCAATAATTACCTATCGAAATTCATATCTCTCTCCTCGTTGCTTCATAGCCCTTGTTCTTTCAATTAGGGATCATTCTCTCTCTTTGAAAGCACTCTTTTTTGTTGAGCACACTCCTCACACTTATTGGATCTTTCTGTGATCTGATATGTGCTTGATAAGGGTCACCAGCCGACCCTTGCTAGTGACCCTTGCTGGTCATAGGCAATAAGAGTGAGCATGATTCCAGATTCTACCCTAGAAGTTGAGAACCTGATCAGTAGGAACCTGTAGGTTTGGGGTTCCAAGATATGCATGATAGGTTTCAGGTTCCAAAAATTGAAGAACCTGTTTCGACTTGTAGGTTTCAGGTTCTAGGTAGGTGAAACCTGGAACCTGAAACCTGAAACCTAAATAAGTTTTTTGTTTTTTTCTTGGTCTATATCTTTGCGTGATTTTGCTGTGTATCATGGCGTTGAATGATGATAATATAATCTGGAACCACTAGTCTGAACTTTCATTTTATAACTTGTTAATATTTCATATTCTTCATGTGTCTACATATAAGTTATGGTTAATGGATCATAAAAGTAAGCGGTGGTCATTAAAGGTGGTGATTCATTACAATTGTTCAATTAATAATATAGGTGGAACCTGAGTAGATTCTGGAACCGACCCTCGAATCTGTGATAGGGTAGGTTCCAAGTTCCAAAAAATAAGGAACCTATTATCGTGGTGGAACCTATACGGAACATGGAACTACTTATCTCTAGTATCGATTTACGTAATGACTTCTCATTTTAGTTATATTTATTTGAACCGTAATGTCGGGAAAACTAGTTTTTGTATTCTCTTTTATGAATGACAACTTTGTTCAGTATTGTTGCGTTCATTTTCGTTTTGATGAAATAAAAAAAAAAAAGAACCTGTTAGACCTTGGAACATGTAAGGAACCTAGAACCGCTCCCCCCTAATGGGCAAGGTCCTACCGACCCTCGTAGACCTCAGGTGAGAGCTGCGAAGCCCTTGCCAGCAAGACGGCCATTGGGCAAGGGCCGCGACCCACGCTCACGACCGGCGAGGGCTTCGCATCCCTCGCCTGTGGTCGGCGAGGGTCAGTTGATCTTCACTGGGCTTAGAAGAAAGAAAAAGGAAAATAAAGAAAGAAAAAAAAATAAAAGAAAAAAGAGAAGAAAAAAATAAAATTATAAAAAATTCAGAAATTTTAAAAAAATTATAAAAATTGTTTGTGTTAGCGTCGGTCGTGCCACGTAGGACGCGCGAACGTCCATATCAACAATTTCTAGTCAAAATTGACCGAAAGGACTAAATTGACAAATCGTCAAAATGTTTAGAACTAAATTTGCCAATTTTTTTTTTACGTCCAAAAAATATTGGCCAAATTGAAAGGTTTAGGATTAAATTGGCACAAGTGCAGTACATTTAAGACTTTTTTGATAGTTTCCCTGTTCATTTTTTTGGCTTGTTTGTCGATCTCGAAGCAGTTTGTTTGTCAAACTAGACCTTCTCGTCTTTGCTAGATGTCTGTGAGAGTTCATTTTCTGGCTTGATTATGAAAATCCCAAATTTACAGTAAGTATTCTGGCAATAAATCTCTACTCCTCCTATTCCAAATTTTATTTGATTAAAGATGTCTAGTTAAGATTTTTGATTCTTTGTTTAATTTGTGTACTTACTCTTCCTTCCTGATTCAGTGCGTGGCTTGTCTTACAGCTTTTGGCTCTTTAGATAAAAAAAAAAAAACAACAACAACAATCGATCAGATCTCATGGACTTTTCAATTCATCTCTGGTTTTCATAAGCCCAACCTTGGCACTTGAACATGTTCTTATTAGTTCATGGATTGATTCGATTCAATGAAGGGTTTTACTATGCTCCAGGAGTAAGCACATGCTTTGACGACGTAATTTTTCTTAGTTGACTTACATCAGAAGGGTTTTGATGTTTGGTCCATTGTTCTTAATAGCTACTCTGTAATTAGATAACCGACTCATGATGCTCTCTGTTGAGATGGAAAGAGCGTTTATTACTGTGAACTGTGAAGATGACTAATTCTTACGAACCAAGTGGTTTGTTTGTTGTTCTCTTGCAAATGTTTGGCGAATTTACAATTGCACTCCACTTGGGCGGAGTTATGGAGTTTGGAGACATCACAAAGTATTCACGCCGCCATATAGAAAATTTCCAGGGATTTAAGCCGAAGTCGGTGAATTATAATGCAATTGTTAAGGCTGTTAATGGTCAAGGCTACACAGTTCAAAGGTTGTGGTAGCTGAAGTCACTGGAAACTCATATTTGAGGGTAAATATTAATTTTTTCTTGAGGATTTTTCAATCCACTGTGATTAGCAAAATAGCATTCTATTTTTCTATTTATTTAAGATGCCTGGTAGTAACACAGTAAGAAGTTCGTCGAGGTGGTGCAAACCATACAATGGATGTTTCAAGCCAAGTTTCTGGACCCTCTCAAACTCAACAATTTCAAAATGAAGCAAGACAATGAATCTGCAGGGAGAGTTGGATAACTTGTGTAAAGCTTGCTTTGTAAAGCTTGTTCAAATCTGGTGTGAATTGAGCCTTTTCGAACTTTTACTGGCCGGTTGTGATAGAGATCATGTTGCTGGACCTCTGTTGGCCGATGTGGATTGAGCCTTTTCTGGCTTGTTGGCTGGTTGTGAAATAAGGTCTTTAGGCAGTGCTCAATTTTGGTTTCATCTAGCAGTAAGGAATTATGGTCCCATAGCGACTGGTCTTTGTCAATATTCTCTCTGGTCTCCATCCTTTATATATGTTTGATAAGCTTAGCACGGAAATGGTTTTCGAGTTGTGCTTTATTCTTCTGTATTAAGCCACCCTCTTTGGGGCAGTTGTATTGTGGTTTATCCCTTTGTCTCTATGGCCCTGCATCGTGCGCAACATCAAGGCTTTCAAATGCGTCAAGAGTCACGACATGGAAGAAGCATATGTTTAGACTGGAAAGACTGTCCCAGCAAACTTTTTAACCTAAGGTGTTGGTATCTAGGTTCTTGACTTGTTAACATCACGTTAGTAAGTTTCGGCGGCCGTTCTTAGACGTCTGCTTTTGATTAGGCCTCAAAAGTAGCATAGATTGAATGGCTTTCCTGCAGCATAGCATCCCTGCAGCAGCAACATTGTTGCAAAACTAAGGCAAGCAATGTCCAGTTCTTCGATCCGACTTGAACGCTATCAGCACACACATCACTCCTATCGCTAGAAGTATGGCTCTGCTATAGATCTTCTCATTTACTTCCAATTTCACAACTTCCACCTGCAAGTCCTTATTGCGTTGCTTTAGCTGCACTCAATCATGCCCACTTCAATCTTGCTGCATTTGTGAAGTATGGCTCTGTTATAGATGTAGCATGCTCAGTGCAATACATCAACATGGTGTCACAATTGAACAAACACCAAATCTAAATGATACAAGCAGTAAACAGCAGAGGCCAACTGCCAATGCAAATGCCTGCCTCAATATGTCTTTGCGTCTCTTGTACTACCATGACAAGACAAACTACATGAAACCCATCTAACACAGCTTGAATTGTTTCGAGTTTCGAAACACATCTGATTGATTTTCTTATTCATCTAAAGAGCCAAAAGCTATAAGACGAGCTCACGCATTGAATCAGGGAAGAGTAATTACACGAATTAAACAAAAAATCAGAACAACAGATAATAAATGGTGAATCTTAACAAGAGCATCTTTAATCGATTGAAATTTGTAATAGGAGAAATAGAGAGGTTTATCGCTAGGAAATCTACTGTAAATTTGGAATTTTAATGAACCAAGCCAAAAACAAATTAACTCCTTCAGACAACTAGCAAAGATGAGAAGATCGAGCTCAGCATATACACTGCTTGGGATTTTTCAAGTTTGACATGCAAGCCAAAAGAATAAACTTTCACAGACAATTCCTTGGGTTTTTTTGGACAAAGCAGAACAAGTTCGACAAACAAACACAGGACAAAAAAAAAATTAAAGATGAGAAGATTAACAAAAGAGTGCTCGAATGAGTTCTGAAGCCTAATCACGGATTGTGGCCAAAAAACAGTATGCTGAGAGAGAGAGAGAGAGAGAGAGCCCTCGTTGAAAAAATGAAGGAAGCAACGAAGAGAGAAATGAATTTTCACGTGCATTACCACGTCATCTAAATTGCTGCCACATATCATTCCACGTCATGAATTCAACGGAACAATTTGACAGAAATTTAAAAAGGGTAAATGTGACACGAACGTACCAATTTAAGATTTTTTGTGACATGAAAATTAATTTTAAATAAATGACTCAAGTTTACCGGCTTGAAATTTTTCATGATTACCTTCCAGAGTTTCAGTGAAAACCATCCTCACGGCAACAAATGCGAGTAGTATTTGATTCATGAGATTATTGTTTATCGCATCATTTCACAAATAATTCTCCTCGTAATTTTCGAAATTTAGATGACAATCTAAGTTTCAGCGGTAAAAGGCACGTTTGCTGTTAACGTCAATGTCAAACAAAGAGGTGACCTTGGTTGTGACAAGATTTTGATTGCCATAAACAATCTCTACCTATTCTTCGCGCTGCAGTGTAAGAAAACTTTCCAACACCATCCATGAAGAGACAAAGATGCACAGGGAAACAAATAGACGTTCATCTATTCTCCGGAACTTGTCAATCCATAATTAAGAATCTCAAATGCAATTATCACGAACCACAAACGCCATAAATCTCCAGAAATTTCCATCTGTGAGTATTCCAGCTAGCCGTTTTTCGGAAGTACAAAAATAGTTTCTAAGAGCAAAACTGTTCCAACCCCAGAACCGAGGCTAATATGAGATACTGAAACACTGAAGCTTGATAAGGGATGAAAGACATTGCCTACAGCCTTCTTCCTCTTCTACCACCCTTTCTTCGGGTGCTATCGGTCGGAATCGGTGTCACATCCTCTGGACAATAATGAAGAACTTAAGTCAAGATCAAAACAACCGATGTAAAGGGTGCAAAGATGGTAAAATGGACCAAACTCTATACACCAGCAAGGACATAGAAATGTGGTGGGTGAAAAGCCCTATGGAATTGCACGAAAAAAAAAAAAAAGCTTCTAGAAAATGATGCCTCATTAGAACTAACATGTATATTAACAGAATCTCACTTCCATTAAATATACCTCATAAAATACTTTTCCACAATTGTAGAGGAAAATTTAAGGAACCCAATGTAATGTAGACAATCAAATAACTGTGGCGAAGGTGCGTCTCTCCTAGACAATCACTTTGTGTTCTACCCTTACATTTCGCGAACGTGGCAAAACATTTCGTTAAATACTAAGCCCATAACGCAAAATTCGCATGAAAGCCAAACACCAGAAGTAACAATGAAAGCCTATTCATTCCTCTACATGATTACTGACTCCAAAGAGTAGAGCAATGAAAAGCACCAAAAATTTGTAATGCAAATGATGCGTCATAAAATTAAGAGAAACTGGCTGTAATTTCTTGACTTGTCCCTGGACAACGTAATATTATGCTGACTGCTTTGATTCAAAAGATTTGCAAAAGTGCAACCTACCATTGTGATTATCATATTGACCAAAAAGCTGAGATTGTCCATCACCCAAGTACAAAAATAGTTGCCATTGTTTTGAAGACAATTAACAAGATATGACTTACCTATGCGACCAATTTTCATTCCAGAACGAGCCAAGGCTCGAAGAGCAGACTGGGCACCAGGACCAGGAGTTTTGGTCTTGTTCCCGCCGGTTGCACGGAGCTTAATATGAAGGGCAGTGACACCAAGCTCCTATATCCAAGGAAATAAATAATTACACAAAACTTAGGAAAATGTAGTTCCGTGTATCAACTCAAACAGGAGCCCCTCAAAGAAAAATTAGAAGAGAAAACCTACAAGTAGAAAAATGACTCTAAAGTAAACAAGAGGGTGCATGGCTATACTACGACAGAGAGAGAGCATGGAAAAAAAATTAATTGCCTCTCTCTCTCTCTCTCTCTCTCTCTCTCTCTCTCTCTCCAGGGAACATTTTTACATAAATGGGGGAATCGTTCAGGATATTTAAACAGAAATAAGAAGAAACCTTGCATCTTTGGGCAACATCCTGAGCAGCAAGCATCGCAGCATATGGAGAAGACTCATCTCTATCGGCTTTAACCTTCATGCCTCCTGTTGTACGAAAATATAACTAGCCATTATACAGCAGTCAAATTTTTGAACGCAAATACGTAAACTTCCAAAAAAGGAAAAGGCAATATATGATATGCCAAAAGTTAATTTCTCAATGTAGCTAAAGTAAGTCAAGCTTGTCCTCCTAAAACTTCTAATAGGTGTGCATCTATTCTTCAACGATCACTTTAGACTAGGAGCCCGAACATGCATTTCAACTCAAAGGGATAACATAAAACATATGAGAACAGAATTAGCAGAAAAGCTGCAAGTGTATATCGTAAAGAACTTAGTCTCGCAAAGGATACTATGTTCTAGTCTCGGAATGGATACTGTTTTCTGGTTCCAAGTTTTATCTTTCAGCTTGTAGCAATAGTTAGTCAACCTAATTTGACTAAAATTTTTTGTGATGAATTATTTATTGAAAAGACTTTTTAGATCCCGGATTTTTGTCAAAGCAATCACTTTCATCATTTATTTGTTTTCTTTTCATTTTCCTTTCCACAACTACATTAACCATAGCTTGCTTTACCAAACTCTGAGATTTTGATGTGCCAATTTGTACATAAATAAAAGTAGTGAATTTTGATGCAGCAAAATATCATATCTGAATGAGGTGAAATCAGGACTGACCATACTCCTAACTGGATTCTTTGCTTATCATAACATGAAATGAATCGTTGTGCCTATGAGGGATTTTGATTGTTTGACAACCTACTGAATGTGCATACGACAGCAAGGAAAAACGAAAAGGGATTTGCACAGGATTCAACAGTAAACACAACAATCATTAATTGCTTACCAGTAATACGGACGAGGGTCTCTCTACCAGATAAATCAGTCACATGCTGCAGTTCAAGCAGGAGAAAAAATTCCAATTAAGGATGTATAAAGATCAAACGAACTCATTAAACTACAACAATCAGAGTACACTCACAATGAATGTGTCATTGAAGGAGGCGAAAATGTGAGCCACGCCAAAAACATATTCTCCCTCTCTAACAGCAGGGCCAAGGGTGACGGTCTCTTCCTTGGGCTCTCTAACCTTTCTTTTTGACTGAAACAGGGCAAAAAGAGTACTTGTATCATCATCAAACGAATACTAATCGAACGATCGAAACACGCAGAATCCAAAAAGATGGCAGGCAGCGAGTTCGAGAACATCTAGCAGCTTCCCAAAATGTAAAGTGCCACCAAATCAACAATGAAGCAACAATCACATGACTATATCTTCTCCTGAACGAACCATTTAACGCGCACTACAACTATCATAGCATCATAGCAATGGACGGAGCCAGTACAGCCAGACTACCCACGAGCTACTAGACTCGAAGCAAATCAGCTAGCTAAGATCCACACAGTTCAAAACTTCAAATTGGATAAACAGAAGCCACCGCCACCCAAATGCATCTCAAAGAAGCAACAGTAATAGACGCAATCGAAAAAACAACAGACCGAATCGTCAACAGTTTGAGAGGCACAAAAGAGGCGGCATCGCTACAAGCTTCCAAGCTCCAACCTTTTCCACCGAGCGAACACGGCAATACCAAGCGCAATCGAGGGCAACTCATGCAATTCGAGAAACTGAGCCCCGGATCTATCCATTCGCGCGCACTCATCTCTCGACCAAAAACCCCACGAATGCAGAATCCCGAGATGCAGAAGCTCCGGAATCTCGATCGAAGCCTCGAATTCATGCTCCGTCGTGCAGATTCACGGGAAGAGAAGAGAGAAAGGCGGGAGACGGATGCTTACCATGGCTGCGGATGCGCCGAATTGAGAGCTCAAGAGTGCTTAGGGCTTCGAGGACGACGGCTGCGAAAATGGTAGACCAGAGGAATGGCACGCTGCTTATCACCTCGGCTTTTATACGGCGAGTTAGGATTAGGGTTAGGGTTTTATACGGCTGCGAATTTCCGAGACTACCCTTATGCATTTTCCTCTTTCTTTTTTTTCTCTCCCTCTCTTTGAAATTAAAGTGCAGTGAAAATCTCAAACTTTGTTACGAAAGTACAATTGAGTCCTCAAACTTAAAAAAAATACAATCAAGTTCTAAAATTTATCAAATTGGTTCAATTAAAAACCTTCTGTTAACTTCGTCCAATTAGGCATATAGAAAAGGGAAAAAACCACCAAAAACCCCAAACTTTCTCACTTGTGACACATTTACCCCGAACTTTTTTTTGTGACACCAAAAACCCCAAACTTTGTTATTTGTGACACATTTACCCCGATATACATTGTCCATGGGCATTTTCGTCTTTTAGCTTTTTCTTTTCTTTTTACTTTTTTTTTTCCGGCGAGGGGGCCCTCGCCGGCTGCGGCGAGGCTCGCCCTCGCTCGCTCGGGCGAGGGCGAGCCCCGCCCGACGCCGGCGAGCCTCGCCCTCGCTCGGGCGAGCGAGGGCGAGCCTCGCTGGGCGAGCGAGGGCGAGCCTCGCCCGACGCCGGCGAGGGCGGCCCTCGCCCGACGCCGGCGAGGGCCCCCCTCGCCGGAAAGAAAAAAAAAGTAAAAAGAAAAAGAAAAAGCTAAAAAGACGAAAATGCCCATGGACAATGTATATCGGGGTAAATGTGTCACAAATAACAAAGTTTGGGGTTTTTGGTGTCACAAAAAAAAGTTCGGGGTAAATGTGTCACAAATGGGAAAGTTTGGGGTTTTTGGTGGTTTTTTCCCTATAGAAAATGTGACGTGTCTTATTTTATTATATTTTTAAGACACGTGGCAATGATGTGACGCTTACCAAGTGTTGCGTGAGAAAAATATTCAAAAATTAAGAAACTACAAACTAAATTAGATTAAAAATAAAATAGCTAAAAGAAAAACCAAACTCAACTCAACGACTGCGGGGCAAGCCCTCACTAGCGGCCACCGCCACATATGTCGAGAAGGGCCGATAGAGGTCACCTGGGCCTTCCCGAAGCCCAGTGATCCTTGCCGGCTTCCAACAAGGGCCTACTAACCTAGATTTAGGGGAGGGCGAGACCCTCGCCCTAGATTTGAGATAGCCTGATCGGTGACCCTTGCTCAGATCCCAAATCTAGGCCAGCAGGCCCTCGTTAGGGGCCGGCAAGGGTTGCTGGGCTTCGAGAAGGCCCAGGCAACCTCCACTGGCCCTTCCCGACGTCTGTGGCGATGACCACTAGTGAGGGCTTGGCTACAACCGTTGCTCTAAATTTGGATTTAAAAAAAAAAGAATTAGCTTTTTTATTTTTTATTCTAATTTAGTTTGTATTTTGAATATTTTTTCTAACGTGGCATTTGTTGGGCATCACATCGTCACCGCATGTCTTAAGAAAATAATAAAATAAGACACGTCAAACATTTTTCATTAGCCTAATTGGATAGAGTTAACGGAATGACTTAATTGGACTAATTTGACAAGTTTTAGGATTTCATTTTACTTTATGAAAATTTTAGGACTCAATTGTATTTTCGTGACAAGTTTTATGACTTCCCGTAAACTTATCCCAAAATTAGAATAGCAATTCTTGTTTTTCTTTTCATTTTTCTACTTTCCACATTAGTATTTTCCGAAATTTGCTCTCAATTTCGAAATTGAATATCTAAGGGTTGGGGTGGGACACACATGGTCGTTAACTTTAATAATGCCTTTACCATTTGCTTTACCTCAATTGTAGTAGTAGATTCGGTGGTTCCTTAGAAGAGATTCGGAATCGTAGAATAAATGGATGGATGGGATCGAAAATGTATTTTTTTCTTTTGGTTAGAAAAGGAATCGACTTTCATTACTGGAAATAAGTACATGGATACACTTCGTTTGCTTCGGAACAAAAAAGCTCTAAGAGGGGTAGGAGGGTTCAAAAGCCAATTTCGTGGTAATCTATTTTTATTCTGAGCTTTAACCACCCAATCAGCAACTCTATTGGACTCTCTATTAACATGGGCTAACTTTAAATCCTTGAAAGATTTGAGGAGCGAGTGGGCTTTTTTGATAAGGCCTTGTACTTCCCAGCCGATTTGTGCTCCGCCAGTGAGTGCGCTTATCAGATCAGAATGGTCTGACTCCACTTTAAGTGAGACTTCAGTTCGCGTGGAGAAATACATGAGAGTTTCCAGCATGGCTTGCGCCTCCGCCTGAGCTGCTGAAGACGCCCTAATAGATCGCGCAAAGCCATCAATTAGTTTCCCAGAGTTATCTCGGCACACACCCGCCACTGCACCTTCATTTGTTCCAGGCAAGTAGGTTCCATCGATATTAATTTTTAGTTCTTCCAGTTCTGGTGGCCGCCATTGATGGAGGCGAAAGCTTGCTGCTATTGTAGTTTTCTTCTTCCCAGGGAGCCACCGATCATGATTTCGTTTCATTACAGTTGCTTCAGCCATTACTTCCTCCGGGTTTGGCTTTTGCGCTCGAAAAACAGAGTGGTTTCAAGTTTTCCAAATTTGCCAAAGAACAAACGTTAGAAGCTCAAAAGTAACCGAGGTATGTTTAAATTCAGCTAACCACACTTCGAATCGCTTCAAACCTTGAGCGGAGACATTGATGTTCAGAGTTGTATTTTTCCAGATTTTCCTTGTCCATGGACAAAGAAGGAGAGCGTGTTCTACCGTTTCAGGGCTTTGATTACAGAGGCTATAGAGGGGGTGAGGTAAGATTTTCCTTCTGAAAAGGTTATCCTTGGTAGCAAGGGCATTTTGGCAAGTGCTCCATAGAAAAGATTTTATTTTGGGGTATGTGTGGGATTGCTATATCTTCATCCACAGTGATTTGGGAATTTGATAAGAGGAAGATGCCTTTTCTGAAGCTTGGTTGGTTGTTACCTCTCTGCTATTTTTATATGCACTCTTTACCGTAAAACTTCCTGATTTTGAAGGTGTCCACGCCATTCTATCTTCCATTTCCTGGCTCCCCAAGGCAGTAACTATGATTTCATTGCTGGTATCTGGATCAAAAAGTTCCTGTACCAGTTGCTCATTCCAGCATTCCTCTTCTTTTATAATTAGATCTGACACCATTCTAGGTTCATTTATGTTCGAGGATCCCCCAATCAAACCCCGTTTAAGCCATCTATCTTCTCTAATATTAATCTTTTCCCCATTACCGACTACCCATCTGATCGATGGTTGTATGGCATCTCTTCCAATAACAAGGCTTTGCCATCCCCAAGAAGGTCTACTTCCTTTCCTAGCGCACCAAAAATTCTCTCTTGGGAAATATATTCCTTTTAGAAAACGACTCCACAAAGATTAAGGATCTTGTGATATCCTCCACGCTTGTTTTCCCAACATAGCCTTGTTGAAAGTCAATAGATCTCGAAACCCAAGGCCTCCGGCATCCTTTCTATACTTCAAGGTCTCCCACCTTTTCCAATGCAAACCCGTTTGCTTTATTTTGTTTTTCCACCAAAACGCAGCTATCTTTTTCTCGATAGCTCGGCAAATGGAGACTGAAATTTTGAAAATCGACATCGCATACTGAGGTAGTGCTTGTACTACTGATTTAATGAGGACTTCCTTTCCCGCTTTCGATATCAGATTTTCCTTCCAACCTTCAAGCTTCTTGTTTACTCTCGTGGTAATCTAAGCAAACATCTATTTTTTCGATTCCCCCCAATCAGATGGAATGCCTAAATATTTGTCCATTTTTTCTATCTCAAGGACTCTTAGTTGTTCTGCCATATTTCTTCTTAAATTCTGTGGGCACTCCTTACTGAAAAAGATTCCCCACTTGTTTAAATTGACTGCTTGGCCTGAAACAAAGCAGTATTGGTTCAGAACTGAAGCAATATTTTGGCATTCAGTGATTGTCCCATCTAGAAAGAATATTGAGTCATCTGCGAATAACAAGTGGGATAAAGTGGGGCAATAATTGTTGAAACGAATTCCTTTGATGTTTTCATCCCCCACAGTTTTTTTCATCAGCAAAGACAGTACATTGGCAACCAATATAAATAGATAGGGGGATAACGGATCACCTTGTCAGATACCCCTCGAAGGTTGAAAGTAGGGCAATGGCTCTCCATTTAATTTAACACTGAAAGTCACCGTGGAAACACATTGCATTATCTAGTTTACCCATTTTGCGCAAAAACCAAATTTCAGCAAGCAAGCTTCCAGGAAATTCCACTCTATTCGATCGTACGCTTTTTTCATATCTAGTTTCAGTACCGCCTGGAACTTTCTCTTTCTCTTTCTCTTTCTCACCCTTAGTTGATGAAGCACCTCTTGGACAATTAGGATATTGTCTTGGATTTGTCGTCCACTAACAAAAGCACTTTGCTCTTCACATATCAAATCTGGAAGCCAAGGCTTTAGTCTGTTAGCCAAGACTTTTAAGATGATTTTATAAATAAAATTGCACAAACTTATAGGGCGATATTATTCCAGTGTCTCCGGGTTAGGTACTTTGGGAATAAGGGAGATATGAGTCTTGTTTAAAATTGGATTTAACATTCCAGACGTAAAGAAATTCTACACCTCCTTGAATACATCCTGCTGAACCTCTTCCCAAAAGTGTTGATAAAATTGCCCATTTAGTCCATCCGGCCCTGGTGCCTTAGTGGATCCCAACTGGAAAACTGCTGCCTTTACTTCCTCTAGTGTCACTTCAGTTGTTAGACAACAGTTTATTTCTTCTCCAACCAAGCTGTGACAATTTTCTTACACTAGTTGAAAACCGCGGGAGCCCTCTGAAGTATAAAGGTTCTTAAAGAAATTCTCCGTTGATTGCTTTAATTGATCAACATCTCATATCCATTCCTCATTTTCAGATTTCAGCATTGTAATTATGTTCCTCTGCCATCTTTGTATGGTGGTAGCATGAAAATACCTTGTATTTTTGTCTCCCCACTTTAACCAATTTATTCTCGATCTTAATCCCCAGTACATTTCTTCCTGTCTCCACAATTTTTCGATTTCTTCCTTCAGCGATTGAACTCTTTGTCGGGCTTGTCCTCTACTTGAATGGTTTGTAAGTTGCTGGATTTCCTTCTTCAGGCTCTTGATTTGTTTATGAGCATTTGTGAACTTGCTTTTGCTCCAGACTTCTAGTTCACCTGAAACTCTTTGTAGCTTTGTCAACAAATTCTGGTTTGTATCTTCTGCCTTCAGCCAAGCATCTCTTACTATTTCCCCACATTCAGTCTCTTCCAGCCAGAAAGCTTCAAACTTAAATTCCTTTCTCCTTTTTTGTGTGTCCTGGGGATAGAAAAATTAATAGTGGGCTATGGTCGGACCCAATAGCCAGTAATGCATAAACCTTTGCTTCCGGAAAAGTGACTCTCCACTCCATAGAACATATCGCTCGATCTAGTCTTTCCTTCACATATGCATCCCCTTCCCTATTGTTAGCCCATGTATATGCACACCCTTTGCTCTCTAGGTCCATGAGGCAGCAAGAATCTAAGAAATCCCGAACAGCCTTCATTTTGTAGTTCTCCGCCAAACGCTTTCCAACTTTTTCCCAGAGGTAAAGAACTTCATTGAAATCCCCAGCACAAACCCATGGAAGGTTGTTGGAGTAACTTATCTGGTACAATTCCCCCCAAAGGTGAAGTCTTGCTTGAAAGTCATTTGGTGCATAAACAAAGGTGATACGCATTCTTCGCTTGCTTGCTATCTGCTCCCCAACCACATCCACAAAGTGTGGAGAGTGAGACTCCACTTTAACCGAGATTCTATCGTCCCAAATGAGTGCCAACCCCCCTGCGATCCCTATTGGATGCACCACAAAAAAGTTCTGATACTGCAAACGTTGCTTTAAACGAAAAACCACTTCTTCTTGGTTTTTTGTTTCCGTTAAGAACAGCAAACTAGGCCTCTCCTCAGCCACTAGGGCTTGGATGGCTTGAATTGTCAGGGGTGTGCCCAACCCCTGACAATTCCAACACAGAAATTTCATGTGTAACCTGATGGCTTGTTCGGGCTAGCCACCAGAGCCCATTGTTCATTCCCTGCTGCCAATTGGACAGGGGTATCAAGTAACTGGGTTTCATCAAGTACCGACATGTTAGATTGTTGAGTATTGTAGGGGTTGTACCTCCTTGCTTTCTTGACAACTGGAATTTTCTTTTCGCAAAGCTTTTTCTTCTGATAAACTGGGACTATGGTCTTAATTACCTCTGTTTGTGCAAGATTCGTGACAGAAGGTGGGATTACTTCAGTCATTTGGCTATCCTGCACTTCAAAATTGTAATCTCCAGTAAGTACCTCCTTTCCCTTCCTCACCTTGTTGCTGTTTGGTTGCTTCGGTTGGCTGGAGGTCCCTGGTTCATATAGCACCATCTGTCCTGGGTTTGCCGGAGTACCTGGGACCTCTTCTTCTTCACTACTAGCTTTTTCCTTTCTCCAAAAAAAAATCTTCTAGAAAGGGCTATTTTCTTGATCCTCGGTCTTTAACCATGAGCCAAAAATACATCCATTCTCTGAAGCGAAATTTTTTTCGTTGTATGGCACCTCCTCATAGTAGGTAGCATAGTGAGGAGCCATCTTTTAGCATGCTTCAGAAATTCCTATACAATTGCTCTAAGGATCTAATTTGATGATATGGTGAACTTCAATAAATTAAAAGGGGGCGCGATGCTTGGATTAGATCCCGAATAGAAAAAAGTAGCGTGAATCGTTAGCTTTACATTAGACATTAAACATAGTGAAATGTCTGAGAAAGATCATATCGAAAAGATATTTTTCTAAAGATTTTGTTCTTTTTTTAAAATTTGAAATACTATACTTTGGACAAGATAGCTCACTCTTACGCTTGTTCCGTGACACTATACTTTAATGGCATGGCATAAATTTACCCAATTGCATATGTTTAAACAATAACTTTTGGATTTTTATTGAGTTTCACTGCCAATAGAAGAACTACTTTCCAATTTCATCTTTAGATAGTTGACATATGAATAAGTTCAGTCACGTATCGCAATCTACGCGTCAACATCCAAAAATGCATGCGTAAAAAGTTTTTAGCGCTGAAAACGGACCTAATAATAGTCCATTTTAGCTTATAATCTTGTTCATAAATAATGTACTTTGACTATGATTGACCAATAAGTAATATCATCGTATCGCTTCACTCGTTTCCTTTACAGTCTTATTGTATTTCGAATCATATTGTGATATTTAACGGTCCAATGACGAAAGTTTTTCAAATCATTCACAAAGGATATGATTAAGTTGGATAAATTGAAAGAGAGACAGCGATGCTTGGATTAGATCCCAAAGGTAGGAGAAAGTAAGCATGGATGGCTAGCTCTACATTGAGAGCCTTCAGGACAATAAAATGTGTGAAATTTATCGGATCGAAAAACCCTATTTGGTAAGATTTTTTTCAAAGATTAGACCTCACATTGTCGGCTTATTTAGACCTAGATGCATCTAGATAAAAATTAAAAATCCTAAGGAATAGAAAGAAAATTGAGTCTATTTCCAAAGGATCAAGTCCAAGGAAATGAGCCCCTCTTTAGGAGGGGAGGCATTATATATAGGGGCGTTGGTAAAGGACTGCTTAGTCACAAATCCAATCAAGCCTCCCTTAACGTCTAGCGGATAGCGCACAAGGAGGAAAAATTGGCAATTGCTTCACGACAAGAGAATGAAACTAACTGAAGAAAACCAAAGCAGCTGACGATGAGGAACCACTAAACAGGAGAAATTCTTTCATAGCGATTCGTATGCCAAATAGAATCAGACCGCTGAGCTCAGGAGATGTCATCCTACCATATCTGTTAACTCGGTATGAAATTTCATGCCGGAGAGAACGGAAAAAACAAGAAAAAAAAATTGTATCTAAGTGTAAGTGTTCCTATAAGTGAAATGAGAATTTCTATGCACTAACTCAAAAAGTTTCTGAAAATTTCTATAAAAATTATGCTGATATAAGACCCACATACCCAGCGAACAAGGACAATATGGACGATAAAAGGTATACCCCGGCTACAATAATCGGTTTTTTGAAACCACATAATTCGAGATGATGATGAAGGGGTGCCATCTGAAAAATGCGATCCCCATATCCATGCAAGCACTTGGTGGCTTCGAAATGTGATGCCTGAAATATGGATACAATCAATTCCAGGAACTAGGCAAGGCAACATGATAAGAAAAATCATCACCATTGCTTTTGGCAATACATGCGCAATGCAGGACAGATGGCGGTAAATGCAAAACAAAAAACCAAACTTCACCTGTCATAATTAATGAATACCGGGGAACTTCTTGAATGTGTATAAAGTTTGATTTACACACAATGAACCTAAATGCCAAATTCTTTCCACTACTATATCAAATAAAGCCACGGAGGGAGAATTTGACTCAAGGCCTCTCTTACTCATAAAACATATGATTAGAGTAACTTGAAGAACCTGTGTGTTCTGTTGAAACAGAAAAAGTTTAATATAGATCAATTAATGGCCAAAGGTAAATGTTGAAACAATCCTTATTGAGAATTAAATTTCTTGTGATGCTTAAAAAATATCTCCATATTTTTGTACTGATCAGTCCCTGTTGAATATCAATTTGCCCGATCAACAACAGGTAAATCAGATTCAGTGTTGGAATGCCAATATTCATGGAGCTGTCATCCCCCAATTCTAACCAGTGATTCCTTCCTGGTTATGTTCATAGCCTTAAAATCCAGAAGTTAGCTGAAACCTGGACCTGATCTGTCTGAGATAAACCCTGGTACTGTGACTCAAACCAATCTTCAAAGATAAAGGCTTTAGCAGGGCCCTTGTGCTTGGGTACATTTGCGACTTCTTCTGGGATCAAGCAATAGAACTTTGGTGCTAAGAAGTAAGAACTATCCTTTCTTAACTTTGTAATTTAGATTAAACTTACCTAAGACAGAAGAAGAAATCAATTCTTCTGATAGTGGCTGACTAAGCGGTACCAGTGCTCTCTTGAGATATAAAGGCACATATATATCCTAGCACTAGTAATCACCCCCATAGGCTATCGATTGGTAAAAAAATACACCGGTATTTATGGTCCTCTTTAGGGGAAAGAAGCCCTCCTCTAGATGAGTACATCCTAATGTCAGTCTCATGTTGAGGTCTCCAAAGAGGAGGACACTATATGAAATGAGATCTTCTCAAAGATGTAGAGCAATCTTCAGTCAAACACAAGGGCTGTGTATCCGTAACCAAAGTGAGTGCATCGCAAGATCATATTTCCAAACATCGAAATTTTCTTGACCTCGTTATATTTAATCTAATTGATGAAATGGCAAAGATATCAAAACAGCCAAGCGAAGGCTAGTTACTCTGTAGGGACAAAGGACACTGCATATTCTTAGGCGAAAAAGTATATTGTAACCATACTGTAATAAAGTATTCCATGACTAACCTGCAAAACTACAGAGAATGCTTCAACAACGAAAACCCCAGAAGAAATGAATAACGGAAGGAACATTCCCGTACAGGCTGCCATTGCAGCTAGTGCTCCACCAAGTGCTAGAGATCCAGTATCACCCATGGAGACAGATGCTTTGTACCGATTATGCAAAAGAAAACCAACACAGGCTCCAGCCATTGATGCACCGAAGATAGCAAGGTCTACCTTCCAATATACACAGTTGTTAGTATACTGAAACATACAGAAAAAACTGACTCTACAACACTGCTAAACCTCAGAACCTGTCGCAATGAAACTCTCTCAGGATTAGTTTTTCTCTTTTGAAAGATCTGTTCACATTGGTTAAACTCTTCAGATGCACCAGAAGACACTTTACATCTATCTCCACTCTTCACAATACTCACCAGCACATATCGGAAGCACCACAGCTGACATTGCTATAAAAGCCAGTGCAGAAACCCCTCCCGCCAATCCATCAAGACCATCAGTTAGATCAATCCCATTTCCCATAGAGACGAAGCAAAACGATGTCAACAAAGAATAAAACTTTCCCAGGCATACAATGCCCAATGGTGCTGGTAAGGGAACCAACTTTTTCCTGCATTAAGAAGGCAAATGAGTGAATCGAACTAATAGATGGATGCTTACTAAATAGAAAGGCAATGCCACAGTAGGAAGTAAACATTTTATCAGCTAAACAAAAAATATAAAACTTGAAAAAACAAACGGATGTATAAGCTATTGATGAAAAGGAGCTAAGCATGGCATCTTAATAAACAAACATAATCTACTTCAACAAATTCGCAACAATTTTGTCACAGGACATTCTCATAATAACTTCAGTACTTAGCCTAGTTCCTTAATAGTAAAGGGGGGAAAAGGAAAGAGATAACTGTCAGTCACATGATTTTGACCCCTAAAGGATAATATAAGGTCCACTAAAATAGGGATCTGCAAATTATCAACTTTTCGCTAACTCCATCCAATTGGAGAAGTCCCTATGCAAAACAGAACGAAGCACTTTTTTTTATTAAAAAAGAAAGAAACTTACGACATGATACATGCAACTATAAAAGTTGAGACAAAGACCTGCCAAAAGAAAGATATGCCAAAGTCTCTGCTTTACCGGTACTAAAGATAACATTAAACAAAGAGAAACTCATGAATGCAGAATAAGATGCAAGTGCTGATCTACAAGAAGCGAATTACATAAATTTAATTCCTTGAGAAGAAAATAGTACTAGAGGTTTTTGATTGATCATTTGTTAGTGGAAGGATGCTGTTCTAATGATCACTAAATCTCAATGTTTTACTAAAGTCCATTGTAAAATTCACAGAACTCCAAAAGCCGGATCAGTCAAGAAAAATGGGTCTCCGTACTTCTCGACCCAACATATGCCGTTGTCAAGAAAGTTGAGTCATTTATGTATAAGACATCTGCAAACAGACGGACTCTCCTTCACTTGAATTGAATCTTAAAACTGTTCACCTTCTGCTTAAGGTAATTTGCACCATGCGCCTAGTTTTTCTAATTGCCGTTACCTCTCAAGCAATGACTTTGAAGAAGAATACACATCCAATAGTGATTTATGTAATGTTCTTGCAGCATTTTAGTGTCTTCCATCAATTGACAGATGAAAGCACCAGAAAAATTTCAGGAGTGAAATTTTCTTAAAACATTGGCACAAGATTAGATATGTAAGTTACCATCAGATAAAGGTTGATCAGATTAGTTACAAGAAGGTATACATGCCATAAGGTGATGATATCCTCGTGCAATCCAGCCACAAAGCAAAACTTGTCGCAACAACAACCTGTAAACCATTCAGAATCAGTTTTCAGATATTTATCGAACGGGTTCTTTGACTAAAGACACCTTAAGGAGACATCTGAATCTGTGTAGGGAATTGATGTAAGAAAGAAAGCTTGCCTCTAACAATAATTTCACCCAAGCAGATAAACCATGATTTCGATTCTCGGCGAGGCTTAGGTTATCATCTATAAACCCAATTGCAGCAAATGACAGAGTCGCTACAGTAGCTGCAGTAACTTCAGTTGAAGAAAAACCAGCTATGGCTTGTGCAACGGCTACACCAACGGGCACAAAAAGCAATCCGCCCATTGTGGGGGTTCTCTTTTTCAAATAGTGTCTCACAGGCCCTTCCTTACGTATGATTTGGTAAATATTAAAACTATCAAGCAAGGGAACAAATATGTAGCCTACACAGGACGCTATAAAAGCCGACATGAAAAAAGGACGAGTCAAGTAAAATTGCGGCAACGGTAATCTGACAATCCGCCAAGCACACCAATCCAAGAGCAAAAGCAAGGTCGTCAGAAAAGTAATCAAGCCCATGTTGTTCAAAATCCCATATTTGATCCTGCGAGTATACATATTTGAAAAGAACCAGGTTAGTATGAAAACAATCTTCCTTCGTATTGCATCCATAAGCATCTTTGGTCACATCTGACTGCATTGAAACAGTTCTAAATACCTGCGTTTCTTCCGGCGCCTGCCAATCATTGCAAATCTATGAGCAGTAATTGTGAATGCATCATTCGTCGATACTTTGTACTTTGGCAAATCCATGTCATTGCTCGGAGTTAACATCATTTCACTGTCACTATCTTCACCATCACTGGATGAAATCATATAACCACCGGTGCCCTCACTGCCACCCCAATCGTCAAGGGATGGGATATCGACTGCGTCCTAGAGAACATTAATGAAAATGACGAATCCTAATAGGTACTTCAACAGAATCATAAACAAGGGCATGGACCAACAAGAGAAAACTAGCGGATTTTACTCAGAGATAAAGAGAAACGGGATACCGGGGCAAGATGTTTATTTTCTGGAAACGGATGCTTATACAAAGTAAACTTTATTTGATTCACACATAGCATAAAACAGCAGAAACTTGCGTAGAGCACAAACACACTTGCTATTAGTGCGCAAAAGGGTTACCTCATCAAATGCCCGGTACGAAATGAGGCTCCGCCGCAGACGGCAACCGGGCCTTTGGAAAATCTTATCATGTACCTGTTTTGAGTTAAAAAAAAACAAAAAGCAGATAAAAGTGAATTGGAGGACCACATAAACAGCGTATAGCCATCCAAGTTCAGAACTTTGTAAGCTTCAAAAAAAAAAATATATATTCCACTGTCCAATCAATAACAGCACCGCGCCCAAGCACATTCAAATGACCGCACGGAAAAGGAATTCCACCGAACTCAGACGACGCCCTCTTCACGTCCATGTCGATTTACGGTTCCCAGAACGAGATAGCAATCGACAGAAGCCAGCATCTCCCTCCCCATACCAAGCAAAGTCATCCGCCGTTTCCCCCCTCCCATTTCCTCCACAACGGACCGACCGAGAATTTCCGAATCGACTCAATCGACTGATGGCAAGAGACGACATTCGATGCCATTCGCAATCGAGGCACGAGGCTCACCGGACTCCATTTCTGATCGACGACGGGGGAGAATCGGAGTCGCGTACCTTGAGGCCGGCACGAGCTCCGGCGGAGCGGCGCTCGGGGGGGCAATGCGATCGGGCGGGGCGGGGGGCGGCGGCGGCGGCGGCGGCGCGCGGGGGATCGAGCTTAGCGGCGGAGGGCGGCGGGGCGCGCATGGCGGGCGTGTCCGGCGGCGACGGAGCCGCTGCGATCCTGAAGATCGGCGATCACGAGGAGGAGCAGCAGCAGAAGGGGAAGGAGAGATCGAATCGAATCGAGGAGAATATTCGATTGGGAAATGCGGAAAGGCGTTTTTATACGCACGGAGCGAAAGCTTCTTCGAGGGAGAGAGAGTGGGAAAAACCGACCGAACTCCGCTTCGAAACCTTCGCTACCTGAAATTTGGTGCTTCGGCAGTTGAGTCCCCCTCACGCGCCTTCCTGGAGCGCGTGCTGCACCACATCATCTTCACGTTCACTTCACTTCCTTTTTGTTTTTTGTTTTTTGTTTTTTTTTTTTTTGTGTACACTTTACTTCCTTGGATTGGAAGGAAAATAGCAGTTGCTGTTTATGTTAGGAAGGAGAAAATTCTAAATAAGGACCTAAAGTGTCATCATTTTATCAAATAAGTGTTTAAAGTGGATTTTATTTCAGATAAGGGCCTGAAGTGGATCTTGTTTCAAATAAGGACCGGAGGTGGTCATGTCAATTTCAAAAAAGGGTTTGACCTTATCGGCTTGTCAATGACATTTTCGTCTTTTGCTCTTTTTTCTTTCTCTCCTTTCTTTTTTGCCTTTTTCTGTTTTGATTCTTCTCTTTTCGCCGTTGGCCGATCTCAGGCGACGGTTGGCGACACCAGGAGAAAGCCGGGCGAGGCCGCCCTCAAAAGCCACAGGTGAGGGCTGACCTCACATGGGCGACCCCTCACTAGCGACTAGCGAGGACCTGGGCGAGGTGACCCTCGCCAGAGGCCAACGAGGGCTTGCAGGCCCTCGCCCAAGACTCACTTTTGTGTAAAAACCGAGTACTTGTGCTAACTTTGTCCAATTTGACTAACAAAACATACCGATATTGTTTTTTTTAATATTTTATCTCTTTTGAAATCCAAAAATTTTCCATAAAAAAGACAAACTCAAAAAAGAAAACTAAAACTTAAAAAACACACACACACACACAAATGGAGGGCTCTCCTGCTTGTGGCCATTGCTCCATCGCCGATGGGGCGTTGACCATAGCTGGTAGGGTTGTTGGTGCCTCAACAACCCTCAGCGACTAGAGGGGAGGGCTTGTTGGCCCTCACCAAAACCGGGAGAAGGCTGGCCCTCTCCCATAGCTAGGCGAGGGTCATTAGCCCTCGCCAAATCGCCGGCAACCCCGCCAGCCATGACCAATGCCCCACCGATGATGGGGTGGCGGCCACAAGTGGCAGGGCTCCTTCCCGTTTCCGACTTAGGTTTGTTTTGTTGTGTGTGTGTGTGTGTGTTTTTTTTTTTTTTTTTTTTTTAAGTTTTAGGCTTTTTCTTTTTAATTTCTTAATTTTTAATCTAATTTAACTAAAATGTAGGTTAAAGTTGTCTTTGGACGAAAATACCCTATACAGTCTCGAAATTTAGCCGACCGACAAGGTTAGTCCCTTATTTGAAATTAACATGGCCACTTCATGCCCTTATTCGAGAAAATGAGAACACTTCGAGTCTTTACTTAGAATTTTCCCAATCATGAACTAATAATGCCCGAAATTCATAATCTTCTCTCTATCTCTTCTTACTTCCAAGCTCGGCGCTTCATGGAATCATAGAGAAAAAGTTCTAGGAAAATATAGTGTTGGCGCAAAGCCATTGACCAGCGAAGGGCGCGTCGCGGTTGAGGTTTGGATTGAGCACGCTGAATCTTTCCGGAGTCAACTCGAACGTGTGTTTGCCATGCCAAGGCGAGTATCTCCATAAACTGACTCACATTTTAGTCTGACGGACACCGGCACGTCTATTCTCGATCCACATCCAAAGTTAAAATGCGGGTTTAGAAGCTAGAGTAATACACGGGACATGGAACGAGAAATCGTTATCACGAAATCATTTGTTCTAGCTAGCTGATGACATTGAGGGATTCATTGTCATGCTTCCTCTCCAAACAACAAGACGTGCAACTTCGAATGTTGAATGGATCTATTTGTTTTCTCACAGTCAACTTTCTTGGATAACTGCTCTCGACTCTCTGTGTCTTTCATAGGTTTTCATGCATATTATGCGTACTCACTATGCGCACAAGACCAAACTTGATAATAATTATTTGTATGCAACAAACTGTGAGCCATTTCCGATGTCAACAAGGACTTCGTGTTTGATAAGTAAATAGAAAATTTATTTCCTTTTTTGCATCCCCACCATGATGTTGGAAAGAGTCCAATTTGGACTTTCTTAATATGACCTAAATTTCCTTGTTATTAAACAACGGGTCGAATTTCAAATGAATTGGGACTAACTCAAAGCCATAATAAATAGGGTTAATACCACCAAAAATCCCAAACTGGTACGCGCGTGATAATTTTACCCCGAATTTTTTTTTTTACCACCAAAAACCCTAAACTGGTACACCTGTGACAATTTTACCCCAAACTTTTTTTTTTACCACCAAAAACCCCAAACTAGTATACTTATGATAATTTTACTCCAAACTGGTAAACCCGTGACAAATTTACCCTAAACTATTTTTTTGACCACGAAAAACTCCAAACTGGTACACCTGTGACAATTTTACCCCGAACTAATAATTTTTTAATATTATTTTTTCGAATTTTTTTTATTAATTTTTTTATTTTTTCTTCATCTTCAACCTCTGGCCGGCGAGGGCCGCCCTCGCCCGACTCAAGCGAGGGCTGCCCTCGCCGGATCCGGCGAGGGCGGCCCTCGCCGGCGTCGGGCGAGGGCGGGGTTGTCCTCGCCTGCCCAGGCGAGGGCGACCCTCGCTTGAGTCTGGCGAGGGCAGCCCTCGCCGGAGTCGGGCGAGGGCTGCCCTCGCCCGACGCTGGCGAGGGCGGCCCTCGCCGGCTTCCGCCTCTGGCCGGTCGCCGGTTGAAGATGAAGAAAAAGAAAAGAAAAGAAAAAACAAAAAAATTAATAAAAATTCGAAAAAATAAAAATATAATATTAAAATTTTAGTTTATGGTAAAATTGTCACATGTGTACCAGTTTGAGGTTTTTTGTGGTATGTTCAGGATAAAATTATCACAAGTGTACAAGTTTAGGATTTTTTGTGGTATGTTCGGGGTAAAATTGTCACACGCGTACCAGTTTGGGATTTTTGGTGGTATTAACCCTAATAAATAATTCTCCTCTATGGTGAGAAGTCCAGCTTCATCCTCATCGACCGTCATCTCTCCCGAGCCCCTCGGACTCTTCTCCCGCCGATCAAGTCCGAACAGTACTTGCACCTGGTCAATGGGATAGGGCTTCGTTAACATGTCTGACGCATTATCTGCTATATGCACTTTCTCAAGGGATGTGGTTCTCTTTGACACAAAATCATGAATATAGTGGTACTAGACATCAATGTCTTTCGTCCGCAATGATATATCTGATTCAAAGATATTACACTCCAATTGTTATAGTGAACAACAATCTTCTCCTGCCGTAATTCCATGTCACTGGGCAAACCACTAAGCCAAAGAGCTTTCTCGATTGCCTCGGTTAACACCATGTACTTTGTTTCAATTGTCGACAAAGGCAACTACCAATTGTACTTGCGCCTTCCAACCGGTGGCACGACCCACAAAAAAATCACCGGCGATCTTATCACCAATTACAATTACGCAAATCGAAAGACGCCAGAAGTATATACAGTGCCAAGTACCCCAATCGCGAAAGGTCAAACCACTTCAAGATTATTTTTCTTTTCCCCTTTTTTTCTTGGATTAATCTTGCAAACGCCGTCCATGGAGAAGGTTAGTATTCCGTAATATAAATGACGTGCATTCTAATTATAAAATGGAAATGTCGTCCCTGTTTATCTTGGCGTCTCTAAGCTTCTTTCCCTTCTTGGTATTGATAAATGTTTACGAGAACAAATTGGCAACTTGGTACTTACTTGGCGCCACTGATCGAAACTCAGATGCAAATTGTCAACAGATGACCAACCCCTCTCTCGTGCTATAAGCTGCTGCAACGGACGGTCTTCGTCGATTCGCGGCACTTTCTGAGTTTTGTTCTGCAAACGTCACAAAAGCACGCTTGGCTCGATAGCAAGAGTAAAAGAGTAAACTATAGTTCATCAAAAGACCGAATGGCACAAAGAGAATTCAGCAACTGGCGGGGCTGGTTTTTGCTCAATGTCTCGATCACGGCACGTGGTTAGAGAACAGAAACACCAAATCAAACTGAGATAGAAACTACCTAAAAAATGTTCGATTTTCGAAGTACACAAAAGCTGGAAAAAAAAAATTACAAGAGCATACACATACACACACTTTCTTACTTAGCATTTAGCACAGTGGATTCGTATGACATGCGAGAATGAACACGCGTAGGTGCCACCACATGCCAATCATTCAAAGAAAAGAGTATATGCTTTACCGATTTTCTTCTTCCGGTCTGGTGGCTTTGAGAGCTCATCCTCGAAGCTTACGTCAAAAGGATGCGAAGGCTTCATAAGTCGGTACAGAAAGAGGAGAAAACAAATGGGCATTTGGAAATCTAAGTTGAACGGGGCTTGAGTTAATGGAACAACAGGGACCAATAAGAACCGACACCGAAACCCATAATGAAATTAATTTATCTTCAAATGCAGAGACCAACGAAACCAGGCTACAAACATTGGGGTGTTCCTTGTTTATAAACCCCAGATCTCTTTGAAGACCTCAAATATTGTTCTCCACACATATTATCTATGCCAAACTTTACAGAAACTACACAAGTTACAGTTTTCGATCGCCCAACCAAGAAAAAACTTGTAATTTAGGCTGTCACAAGTCCACAATGAAGTCCCAATATCAGAAGCTAATGCACAAGCTGCCCAAGAGATGGAATTTTCTTACTACTAAATTACAATCCCTTTGCTCACAAAACATGGATGCACAGCTCCATCTCCTTCGCACAATCAATCCACCATACATCCACGACCACGCCAGAAACATTCAATCAAAGCTTTGAGCACTGAATTAACTGAGCATGAACCTCACAGCTCACTCCATATGACGGTAGATCTGCTTAACTTAGATCAGGAACCGGAGGTCTACCACGACCCATAGTGAATCCTCTTGTTCCATCAGGCATTCTTGGGCCTGGAGGAGGTTTTGAGGGCTCAACGATGTGTGTAGAAGTTGTAGTTCCATGCCCTGGCGAAAGATTTTTAACCATTGGCTATCATTACCACTTACGAGAAAAGGAACAAACAGAAATAAAGTAAATCACTAAGGGATACCGTGTCCATTCACCCCGCGAAGATTGTATCTCCTTGGTCGCCCATGGTTTCGGCTTCTGTCCTCATTTTTCTCCTTGGGAATATGGTCTCCATCCTTGTATATGAAAGGAGAGACATAACAATAAAGTGACAAAAAGGGCTTGAAAATTCCTCATGTTGCCCTTTCACTAATACACCTCAAATTCATCCATTATTTGAAGGCAGAAAAAATATTTATATCTCCAGTTGCAGTATCCTAAATAAACAAGGTTAATTAGCTTTGAACCGTGACTCCTCCCCTTTATTCAGGTGGGGGTACAAAAGGAAAGCATAATGCTATTGCTTATCTTATATATAGCTGGAAAGTTCCATTTAGTCAGGAAATTCTATAATTATCCTTGTACAAATGGAAGAAAGGCCTATAGATAATGTTAAGATTGTACTCACTTTTCTTTTCATTTTACACTCTATCAAGTAAACACCCGCAACTGTTGAGTAACCACTCACTCGCTATTTAACTTCTATCCCACTAAGCCAGTATGAATTGCAACGGCTCAACTTCACACATGCATAGCATGTGCCCGCAAGCTAGTCAACATTACTATACAAAAATTACCATCCCAGTTAAAGCCAGATGTTGTTCTACTATAAAAGAGCTAACTCAAGTCATAGTCACAACATCAAAGATGCAGAATCACTCACCTCTTCATCAGGCACACTATCATGATGCTCACTTAACTTGTGATCTTCCTCAACACCAACTTGATCGAATAAATGAGCAGAACCGTTCTTCTCAGATTCAGTAACCCTCCAGATTACTTTTCTCTGCCCTTGCTTGCCCTGAAGCAAAAGGGACAATTTCTTCCAGTTAGAAAAGGAGGAAGGAAAGCGAATGTCCAATATTTGATCCTGCAGAGAAAGAGAGAAATTTGAAACTGATTACCATGCGCTTTAGAATCTTGACATGCATGCCATTCCTCCAGTCCCCTTCATTATTCAAAGCAGCAACCTAATCAAGTCATCAGAGAAATGTCAGTTCCTGCAGGGACAGCTCGTTTAATTTTTGTAGTAATAAATGTTTTACAGTGTTAAAAGTTAAAAAGACTTGACACTCACCGCTTTCTCAGCAGCTTCAACAGCCTCATATTCTATGAGAGCATGTAACTACAACGAAAGCATGAAAGTGAATTAGGATAAAATAACTGAAGAAAAATTGACCAAACTTATTCAAATTCACTCACACACAAAAGACATCTCCATGACTATTAGACAAAGTGAAAACATGCCAACTCTAGAAGAAAGGACTAATATCAAGCATCATGTAAGGAACTACCGATTCAAAACCCACATCCACTGAACCATCACGACGCACAAATAAGACCTCTATTTAACATTGGTTGAGCAAAAATAGGAGGAGAAAACTTGAGCATGTATTGAAATCACCTCAAGTAACAAAGGGAAACATTTTTATACATAGTATTGTTTTACATTTGTCCTTTATAAGAATTCATTGCTGAAAATTATATATCAAATCATTATCAACACTATGCAAGCCAATACTGAAAAAAAAAAGTCTTGCAAGGTTTCCTAGGAAACAAAACAAAAATCATTACAATCATATGATAAAAATGCCAATACATGCATCTTACGGTTGCAATCACGTGATAAGAGGAAACAGAACCTGCAAACACATAACAAAGACCATTCTTCAACAAAAGACAAAACGAAATCTATTTAGTTTATCCACCATAGGTTTCTGGCCAAAGGCTAATGTCGATTCTTTCTAACTAAGAATATTTCCAGACTATGCAAAACACTGGCAAGGTTGGCATTCACAATGTGGGAAAGTGACTCATGAAGAATGAGTGCACTGTGAAGTAATGTTACTTTACACCGGTTTATACTTCTAAAGGCATTAATGGACATGACGGAGACATATCAGCCTTAATAGCTGTCATGGTGGATCAGTCTGACTAATGTATTGACATTTGGATGTGCAAAATCAACATAGAATCTCATTAGGCCCTTTTCTACGCAATCTCATCAACTTTTTTATCAATAAGCTGAAAAGTCCCACGAAATATTGAATAGGAAATAATATGAATTTGAGGTTCCTTAATGCTTATGGTGCTAGAAAAGGTTGCAGCCACCTTCCTGTATCATATACTATATTATTGACAAGTAGCAACTTTTTCCTCCGCTAGGTGTCAACCACATGAATCCTCATTTCCCCCCAGACATAGTCTTATACCATCAGTAAGGTTTCATAATCTAGAATGCTTCTTAAAAGTCTTACTTAAGTCATCGTAGAGTTCTCCACTTGAAATTGTATCACAGTATGTTGAAGTCTTTTTCACACATCTAAAACAATTCCACTAAGCTTCTACATGGTCATTGATCAGGACTTGACAAAAATATTAAAAAAAAAATCATACACCTTCAGCATCAATCCCATGTATCATTAAGTATAGCCATCCCAAAAGATTGATTAAAATTCAAGTGAAGAAAATCAACCATGATAACATACTTCAAGACATCCCTAAGTAAAGAAAACTGCACAAAAATTGCAAAAAACCAATATAAGCTCTCAAGGAAAGAACAACAGTAAAATGTGTACCCTAGATTAGGATGAGCATGGAAGCAAAACTATTATTATCAAACAACACAGACTTCACACGAAAAGCGCAAGCATCTATATGAATACCTTGGTGCTATGAAGTTTTTCTGACTTGCCATGCTTTTTTGACTCTTCTACTGCACTAGGATCATGGACAGAGATACTCTTCACCCTAATTACCAAAGAATAATTAGAATGTGCGTGTGCATGTGTTACGGAAAGACGAAGTAAAGCGAAGCAGGTGGACACGATTTTCTTTTAAAAGAAGGAAATCTTGTAAGAAAGGTAAAAATAAGAACATACTTTCCAACTTCAATAAAAATTCTCTTGAGGTTCTCCACTGAGTGATCTTCTGGCAGGTTCTCCACCAGAACAGTACGTAACTAGAATGCAGATATTCGATGTTAAGAAATCCATAATACAAAGTATAATAGGAAGGAAAAAGTTGGTCCGTTCTCATGATACCTTTGGATCCAGAGCCTCTGTACTTGGAAGAGGATGAAGTCGCTTCACCTTCTTCCCATCTGGACTCACAACCTGCAGTAACAAAAGGAAGTGTTTGTGGACCAATCCAATGCAGGACCTACAAGCTTCACAAAATTAAGAAGTGAAAAAAAGCTCACCAAAAATGTAGACTCCTTCAGTGCAGTTGCAACAACTGAATGATCTAGGGTTAGCTTTTTCATTTTCCTAAATGAAGCAACTATCCCAATAGGAACTGCAAAAACAAAAACCTACATAAATCATAAGCTTAACATAATATGAACAAACACACCAATACAACATATCCATGTTTAGTGGTAACAGAGAACTTTGAAAATGACATGAGACCAAGCAAGGCAAGGCGTGACTGACGTACACAAGAGAATAATAAAATGACAAGGAGAGAGGAGAAAAGAAAATTTTCTCATTTGAATGGCACCAAAATCAGCAATTTGGGCTACAAAAAAAATGGAAGATGTTTAAGCCAGTGTTTCAGAAGAATTTAATCCCTATGTTCCAGTTACTTTCAACAACTAGTACCATTAACACATCGAATGAAGAAGCAATATACCATCACTCCAATGCTGGCGCATCCCACCTCAGATGTTTCCTAGAACTCTACCAAACCCTCCAACCCACCCCCCTCTTCTAAAAAATAAAAACCACACACACACACACACACATCCCTTCCCCCCAAAAAGAGAAACCTCCTTTCTCTCATGTTTCTCCCGTTATTCTCGATTTCCTTTCCTTATAGTCTTCATGGACAGATTCCATCTAAACAACACTTATACAAGAGATACTTCACGATTCTTAGAGTTAGAACGATTTAAAGAACATTCACATGCAAAGATTGTTTGTTTTGAAAACAATAAATTAGTCATTTATTGAGCAAGAATTTCATCATCCATTTTATGCTAGATGAAGGAAACTGGATATCCTAATTGGGCCCCATTTCCCGTCAATAAATAGACTAACTAACATTCCTTGTACGGTCAGCCACTCATCGACACCTTGTAATCCAATTGACTCTGCCATTGCCCTGTTAAGGAACTCGTCGCACCAAGCTCAAGCAACCTCAAAATTTATTGATAAATCTTAACTTATACGGAACATCTTAGAGGAGCATACGAAAAACAAAAGGATATTACCTAAAAACCACTTGAAGAATTAAAAGCTCGAGAATCGGCAATAGCCACTTCAAGCCACTAATACTAATAAGAACCACGAAAGGAAATTACTTACCGAATCCTTGTTTGTTCTTCTTAATCCAACTCAACATATAATTATCAGTGGGCAAGTTTTCATCACTGAAATAATACTCCACCTGCAAAAAAGAAGACCATTTCATCACGTCAATAACTCCAAACTAAGTTCTTTATCGACAAAAAGAACTACATGATTGAGAAGGCACGTCGAGTCATTTCAACTCTTGCAATCTTAACCCGCACGCCAAAGACGCACGCCTTAACAGCACCGAAAAATATCAAGGAACACAACCCACAAGATCGCTAACCTAAAAGAGACGAGAGACAGAGAGACGGAGCGCTTGCCTGCCTGATGATCTTCCGCTTGAGATCATCGACGCCGGCGGCGGCGGCGGCGGCGGCGGCGGAGGAATCAGCAAGACCCTCGCCATTGCCATGATCGGGATCAACGTCGTCGTCGGACGACGGCGGCGACAGGTCCTCCGGGGCCTTCTCCTCCGGAGACCCGGCGGGGTCGCGATCGGGCCGCGGCGGGGGCGACCGAGGCTCCGCCGCTCCCCCTCCGCCGTCGGCGGCGGCGGCAGCGGCGGCGGAGGAGGGAGGCGGCTCCGCCTCGCCTTCCGGCGACATGGGAGAAGGTCTAGAGAGAGAGAGAGAGGGGCTCGGCGGAGAGCGAGCGATCCCGCCCTTTTTCTTTCTCTCTCTCTCTCTCTCTCTCTCTCTCTCGATTTCCGATTTGACGCTTCGCGTGCGACTTTATATATAGAGTCAAAGCAAAAGAGGCTGGTGTGGGGGGGTCAAAACGGCGGCGTTTTTGGGGGACATTATTGTGCATTTTTGTGAGGGAGTTAGGTCCAAATGCCTAAATGGATATTACATGCTAAGCACCATCAAGAAGTTGGTGATGCAATTGAGATGGATTAGCATTCATTAAGAACGAGGGATCTTAATTGAATTGCAGATGATATTGCTGGATCTTTTTGTATCGAAATGTGGAGTTCGTTATGACGGTACGAAAAATGCGCCGCCGCCGGAATGTACTTATTGCAGGTGATCAGCCCCCCGCCCGATCACGCTTGGCTACCACGAACGGTTGGATCGGGAAAATCCTAATCCCACTGTCCCACTTTACCCCTTTTTTTTTTGTCCCTCTGTTCTCTCGTATGAACCTGAACTTCCATCGCCGTCATGCCGAGTCACCATTGTCAAATCAAGCTGTCATTGCTCCTCGTTGCCTCCACCCCTTATCATCGAAATTCGATATGTTGATTTATCTTCCCCCCTCTTAAGCGGGAAAATTTATAATTATTTACCCTCTCTTTAAATTTGGAGGATCCTAATCCTAGTATGATATAGTCAAATTTGGAAAGCATATTATGTTTCCCTTGTGAAAACGTATCATCTCAACCAAATGTTCGAAACATCTCACGTCCTGAAAAAATCAATCTTTTTATCAAGGGGTTAAGTAAACCGGCACCTTCCTTTACTTGGGTTAGTAAAGAGGGGTGATATCTCCTCACGGATGTGATAGGGGCCCGATCACTGCACCGGTAAGTCCGGAGGTGACTCTTGCAAGAGGATTTCGAACTTGGTACGCCGATGTGTGATCGAAGTAGCATCACCACGCGCGAACCGCCATAGCGGGGCAAAGAAAAACCTATCATCCAACAATAATTGCATCGATAATTCATCGTTTCCTTCTTTATATCATGTCGAAACACAAAAGCAATTGTCGAAACGTGGTTATAGGGCCCAAGACTTCACTTCAACGAGTATCCAAATCGATCTTCTTTAAGCCCAGCTGCACGAGTTGGTTGCGTGTTAGAAGGAATTCATGAGGACATGTTACGGGATTCAACTAATTTCTCCAAAATCTCTAGCTAGTTGAAGTTAGGGACAATTACATATTGCCTCTTGAATTCTTACCTATTTTCATTCTCCCACTCGAGTTTTTGATTTTGCTGAATTGCCCCTCAAAGTTCTGTTCATCCTGCGTAACTTAATTGCCGGTTCAAATTCATCTTGCATTTAATCACGTGACTCGTGTCTGAAATAACTTTTCATGTCAATTTGCATATCTCAACTATAAATTTATATGGCAAAAGGACATCATAAGTGCAAAAAGTTACGTACGGCGCTCACTTTAATGGAAAAAGCTTTTTTGATCACTTAAAAGCCAATTTTTTTTGAAAAAACGATCTTTTCAGAGCCAACTTCGATATGTTTGGCTAAAAATCCAATGTAGCCTATTTTTATTAATATCTTAAGCTGACGTGACTCGTTGGAGGGTCCAGTTAGCATCAAAAGCACAAACGACGCCGTTGAATGCCTTTCCCCCAAATTAGAACCCTAGATCGCCCAATTGGAAGAGAACCCCTCATTTGAAACCCTAACCGGCCATTGAACACAAATTCACATACCCTATTTCGATTTGCCACCAAAATTAAGGGTTGTCTCTCTGTCGACGTTGCAACATAGCACAACCCTTGGGTCCGTCTAAGTGCTGTCTCACTTGGTTGCTTGCCTATGCTCAAGGGTCAGCCTCTCAAATGCCACGTCCAAGCTCGGTTTCTGATCGCCGCTTGCAATCTGGCGACCATCTCTCCTTCCAATTTCCAGCTATTGCTCTGTCTAGGGTTGAGAGGCTCACACAGACAACACCATTTTGGCCGTGCAGTTCCTGCATTCGCTACTTGCCTCGGTCTGTCCTCCCCCTCCTCCAGCTTCGCCTTTCCCTCAGGGATTTTCTTTTGAAATGATCGTCGCATTGGGTCGAAGGACAAGCTTAATGCTTTCGGTTTGATGGAGCTGGTTTCGTTGTGAGATGGAGGCGAAGTGGATGGGGAGAGATGGGTGAGAGCTTACGGTATTCATCCAAGAGCTTCTTTCTTCAACGATGATGGCCTACCAAATGCTTGTACATAGGGGTAAGCAGTTACAAGTTCCTTACAAGTTCCATTTGGAACGCGAAACTTACTTGTCGGAATAGGTTTTTCACTTTTTGAAACCTGGAACTTAGTCTACATATATTGAAACCTAGTCACAGGTTGCGGGATTTATCCAGATTCCACTTTATATTCATAATTGAACGATTGACGTAAATCATCATCTCTAATTACCACCATTTGTTGTTACAATCCATTGATCCCAACTAATATTTAGACGCACGAAAAATATAAAAACATTAACAAAGTAAAAGTTTCAATAATTGATATCATCGAAAATAGAAATCAGAGTCTCAGACTAGTGATTCAAGATCACACACTTATCATTGAACGTCATGGAATATCATAGGATTGCATGAAGACATAGAATAAGAAAAACATAAAGAATTGTTCGAGGTTTTAGGTTCTAGGTTCCAAAACCTGGTATTTGGAACCCACAAGTCAAAATTGCTTCTCTTATTTTTGGAACCCGGAAACTACCATGCATACCTTGGAACCTGGAACTAGATCAGTTCCCATTAGTCTGGTTCACAAGTTCCGGTTCCACCCTGGACCCATGCTCACCCATACTTGTAGATTTGACTACGTAGACTCCGCTTCTGACAGTAATACTAATTTTTAATTACAAATGACAAGTTTTTGGTTTTTTTGCTAGAATTTCTCGCCGAAGGTACTTGAGTGATCTTTTTCTTTTTTCCGATTGGCATTTAAGTAAGCCAGCGAAAACTTTGGGTACTAAAGTGAGCATTATACAGAACTTCTCGTTACGAAAGTGGAAATATCAATTTAAGCTTGTAATTCTTATGGACAAGTTGGTTATGTTATCTGGAATTCTATGATCAAATTACAACGAAATTAGCATTGTTGCTGATGCTGTCTAGGTTATTAGAGACATAAAGTATAAAAGCTTCAGATTGGTCGTCTGCAAAAATGAAACTTCAGAGGGCAAAATAAACTAGGTCAAACGCTAAGGGCCAATATGTAACTTGAAAATGGATTGTTTATTAAGGAATGATAATGGGTATAACAAAGTTGTTGTGTCTGTTAAAGATGTCAAACCAAATTGCTTATTAAAGTGGAAGCGGGAAAATATCAAATAAGGGTATGAATTGAGATTTTTTTTTAAAAGAGACTTCAGAGTAGACATTGCCTCAAATAAGGCTATGAAGTGGCCAACCTAGTCTAAAATAAGACCTCTAGCTCATCGGTCAACCAAGTTTTTATCGTTCGGTGAGCTCGTGCATCTCACGTGCACCTTTCGTGCATCTTACGTGACATGCATGCGTTTGCCAATCAGGTTTGATGAACCTCCAGCCCCCATCTCTCTCCATACCTTCATATTTTTTTTATTTTTGACATTACTGTTGGTGTGACTCCACATCATCAGCATTTCATCGAAAATTTGGTTGTATTCCGTATCAAAGTGCATTATTTATTAAAAAAAATGAAGGTTTAATGCAATATGCACTAATGTTCACCCAATACCAATATCTTATCCTAAATCTCTTTGTAATAGCATGATCTAGGAAGCATTTGCAAGATTAAGAATTAAGGAAACTTATACCCTATCAATAAAATAGACTGACATCAGGATAAAATGAAAAATTTACATGAATTGGAGAACCCTTTGTGATTTGTGCAAAAGCTCGTCATATTTGGTAACTTATTGAATTTTAGATGACGTACATTAGGCAACTCAATTATGTCATCGGCAACAATTTTATCTTCTCCTACTTTATCTGCAACAATGGTGCATTGAGTCATATTCCCATATTTGCATATCTTTCCGTTGTACATGTCTTTGCATCTCTAAAAGAAACCACAAAGTTTTTCAATCCGTTGAACTTTTTGACACTCACGGCTTTTAATTTGTTGATGCACTCTGGTTGACAGGACTATTATGGCATATCAGACTTATCAGTAATAATGTTCTCGAGGAACGAAGACTCTAAAATCATAAAAGCAGTCAGAGGGAGGCCATTGGAGGAATTGACAACACACTTGATTGAGAGGCTATTGTGAATGTCAAGATGCTTTAGTTCTCAAAATCCTTTGGTGCGCAACTCGTGAGTGTTCTTCTTGAAATCTCTTAACCCGTCCAAATGCAAGTATTTAGTCTTCTGCAGAGTTTTCCAAACACATTCTCTTGAAAGAATGTTATTGCACACTTCCAATTTGAGCTCCGTGGTTCTCAAACCTTTAAATTCCCTCCCGTAAACATTTCCAATCATGATCTAAAATCTAATCAAGTTCCAAATGATAGGTCATCATGGCGGGACCATAGATTGATATTTCCAGAGTGCTCAACTTTTTCATAGCCTTCTAGCAAGCCTAGCATTACATGATTCTGACAATATTTCATCCTCCTATTTATCAATCGATAAAAGCTTCCCTTCATGTGTAACTTTTCCAAGTTGATTAAGCCTTTTAAGGTAGGTCAGATGCATAGGTTTGCTGGTCAGCGAAGATTTGGCTGACCGAGGAGCTCAAAGTGTTATTTGAGACTAGGTCGGCTACTTTAAAGATTTATTTGAGACAAAATTCACTTTGGGCCTTTTTAAAAAAAAAAGATACCCTTATTTGAAACTTTCCCCATAGAAGATTTTGAAAGACATCTTTGCTTGAATTATGGTCCTTGCAGATCAAATGTGAAGGATAACAAGGGTCAAAACAATATGTAACCAATTCTCTGCATGAGAGAGAGAAGACCACTGAACAGAGCTTGCGACTAGGATGAGCTCACCATTGAAGACGACGGCCTCGATTACACCGGAGAACAACTTTCATATCTGAAGGGGACTCGCGCTAAGATTTCGAGAATCTATACTTGTTGGCTATGGTTGAGGAGCTCAACTCAGGTGAAGGATTGATTTTGGTTGAGAAGCTCGACCCTTTGGTCAAGGGGCTTGCAGTGGTGGACACGAGCTCGCCGGAGACGACAAGACCGGCGATTGTAGGCTACTCTGCAGAGGCTGAACTTAGGTTTCATTGGACTGTCTTAGGGTTTGCAAGTTGCAGGCGGCAGCACTTAGAAAATTGGGGGTTTCTCACATGGACTCTGGTTCATGTGATAATGTTCATGTGATAATGAGGTAAAGGATTGAGAGAAAAACCATGTGTCGTGGAGAGACCACACATGTATATATAACATATTCAGAGTGTTACAAGATATATAGGAAACCCAAGATTACAGAGTATTAGACAATGAAACCCATGATACCATTTCCAATTCCCAACACAGGGAAAGTTAAAATTACAGTTCTGAAGGATCAAACCTGTTTAGTCGGCGTGCAGTCTATCTCAAATTCTCTTTCACGTCAGAAACTGTCGGTAGAAAACTATCATTCTCTATTTGTGGCAATGGAAAAGAGCAGCGAGCAGCTTGAAGAAACAGGCATCGTCATTCGACATTCATATAAGTACTTAAGGGGAAAAGAGGAATTGGCATTTGGATGTCCGAACAAAGTTCTAATTTCACAATCATCAACTGTTGTGTGGAAAAGTATAACCGAAAAAGTTTTAACATACATAACAGATGTCGGAAAAAGGCTCAATAAAACCACTCTAACTAATGCTTCATCTCTTTAACATTATAAAAGACTTGCGCGCCAAAATCTCGAGGTAACAACCTGACATGAGTATACATTCAGACAATAAGGTATTGTGTATTGACTCCCATTAGCATCGTTCCAGAGAATTTAGCATCCGGTTCTCAGTTGAAACTTGAGTGTCTCTGGTCGCTCACCCTGTTTTGTATTCAGAACAGGTCAAATGGGCTCCAAAGCTAGAAATGACGTGATAAACTGGAAAGCAAAAGATATATTCCAACCATCCTATACTTGAGATGCTAAATTCCTCTATCTATTGATACAGAGAAGAAAAGAATCGAACGAGGAGCTATAAGACAAATGAACAGCCCCACTTGAAAGAGCATGATACCAGTGCTGCCCTAATCGAAGAGGCAGAAAAATTGGTGGATCCGAAACAATTTCTGATTTGAGACTGCTCATTGTTGTGCAAGGCGTAGAACAATCATCCTTTATGGCAGAATTCGCTGCGGATAACCCTCATCAAACAGGCCATGCTTCCTTTGGGTCCTAGAGGTACCAACTAAGCAAAAAAAGCAGTTTGGGCCGTGATCTTTCTGATGTATTATCTTCGCAGTGATCACAATGTACTGTACGTGTTAGCTACTCCTGACCGCAGCTTTAATAGGCAAAGGGTGAGCTTCCGTGTTGAAAACGAACTTATCCAAGGGAATAACATCACTGTCCGAGAACAACAAATACAAGTATTTCAGCGTCTCTCCCAAGAAGAAGGTCTCCATTTTGTCTCTCCTTCGAGGAGGAATGTGGGTGACGTCATCAAGAGAACTGTAGCCACCAGTATCGACCTTTGTGTATTTCTCAAATGCCTCAAAGATCTGCCAACCCCATTCACGGTATCTGCATTATAAAAAATTGATCACAGCTACACTCAGAAAGGTGGGTGGGTGAGCAGGTGGATATGGACAAAAATCTAAGGTGCTGAACGGTGCTGGGAATACCAAATAAGCACATTCGGAAAGAAATTAAAGGAACATACTTTGGGTCTTCTGTAATACGGTATAGAACAAACAATGATTCCACTGTTTCAGGACGCAAAAGATTATGACGATCAGCGTGTTTGATAATAATGTCGCTCAAATACTTAGAGATCTTATTTCCACCATCAAGACCCTCTTCAGAGTACTCCTGTTCGAAATAAAATGCTCATCAGATGCATTGGCAATGTAAATCAAAAGAACTATTCCAAAGTGATTGACATACAGTTGTCTAATCAACTACCTCCTAAAACAAAAAATTAATCAACTTGGCTTATTAAAATTTCCCTTGACCAAACTCAAAAAAGTGAAGTTCTAATCCAACAGCAAATTATACGAGAAAACCTACCTCTGTATGGAAGTAAGCAATTTCCGGAGCAAGACCAGTAGAGGTTACGGAATACATCTGAAAGCATGTATGCGTCAAATCTTCAGCAAGCTTCAAATTTTCCAAGTCTTCAAATGTAAGTAAATCGTCTTTCATTGCTCTCTCTTTTGTCTTGCCTTTTGTTGCACCAAGTGCAAGTGTACCAGGCAGGAAACATACCTAACAGTCATAAAAAGTTGCATGGTAAAATTAATGTGCTTATTCATATTTAATGAGAGAGAGAGAGAGAGAGAGAGAGAAGCATCAACATGAGCTTGATAAAGATAAACGATTTTCATGGTGAATTGCAGGTTGATCTGACAGAAAAAGGTTTAAAGAATCAGAGAACAAAAAGAATTACTGCCTCCAGAAAAGGCCTTATGAATTTCAATTTTTTTAACACATAAATCACATTGACTTGTTTCCTATGGGTGAATTTTGACTGTCAGTGCAATTGAAACCATGACACGTCAAGATTCTAGGTACATTTTTGAGTAAGATAGTTATATATAGGGACAAGTACATTGGAAGTCTTAAAACTTATCATGAAAGTGCAATCGAGTCCTAAAACTTTCTAAAAGTATAATTAAATCCTAAAACTTGTCACGAAAATGCAAACAAGCCCTAAAACTTTTAAAAACCGCAATCAAGTTCTAAAACTTGTCAAATTGGTCTAATTAAATACCTCCGTTGATTGCACTTTTCAAAAGTTTTAAGACTTGATTGCACTTTTTCGACAAGTTTTAGGACTTAATTGCCCTTTTTGAAAGATTTAGGACTCAATTGCACTTTCATGACAAGTTTTAGGACTTCCAATGCACTTATCAGATATATATATTACCGATATTAGGATCCTAAAAATTTTCTGCATTCAAGGAGGAGAGAAAATTGAGGAAAGGCCTCTAGATTTAAGCTGAAAAGTACGGTCCTCCCCATGCATAAACATAAGCATCTAAGGGTCTATTTCGTAACATTTCTTTTTCTAGAAACAATTTCTGTTTAGAAATAGTTTTTTCTATTTCTATTCCTTATACGAGTTTTTGAGGAAAAAACGCGTTTAGCAACTGTACAAAATTTCTATTCCCGGAGTAGAAAAAGAACATAAATGCGTTTGGTAGGACACTAAAAATTTCTACTCCCAATTTTTTCATCTAATTATAAAATTGTCGGTGGAGATTTAACAATTCATGTTTGGATAAAATTGGACTAGAAATAGAATAAGAATATATTATGATATAGAATTAGATGACCTTAATACAATCATAAAAAAATTACTTCTTATAGATAAAGCAAATACCAGATGGTGGTCGAGAAAATTGCAGTTTAGGGGACTTAACAATTCATGTTTGGATAAAATTGGACTAAAAATAGAATAATAATATATTATGATATAGAATTGGATGACCTTAATATAAACATAAAGAAAATCACTCCTTATAGACATATCAAATATTGGGTGGTGGTCGAGGAAATTGTAGTTTAGAGTGTAGGATTTTAGGATTTGGCGTCAGGGTTTTAGGATTTCGGTTTTGAGGTTTAGGGTTTAGGTTTTTAGATTTTGGATTTTATGGTTTAGGGTTTAGGGTTTAGGTTTTAAAGTTTCGGGTTTGGGGTTTTAGGTTTAGCGTTTTAGTGGTTTAGGGTTTTAGGGATTCGGGTTTTGGGTATTGGGGTTTGGGATTTAGGGTATAGGGTTTATAGTTTAGGGTTCGGGATTTATGGTTTAGGGTTTGGGGTTTTGCGGTTTAACGTTTAAAGATTTAGGGTTTGGAATTACGATTTTAGGACATAGGTTAGGGTTTTGGGTTTAGAGTTTTGGGGTTTAGGGTTTAGTGTTTCGGGTTTTGCGTTTGGGATTTTAGGGTTTTTTTTGGTTTTAGGATTTGGGGTTTAGAAGGTTTAGGGTTTGGGTTTAGGGTTTTAGGGATTTGAGTTTTGGATTTTGGGATTTAGGGTTTCGGATTTTTCATTTTAGTGTTATGGGTTTTAGGATTTGGGTATTGAGGTTCAAGGTTTTGGGGTTTAGGGTTTGAGGGTTAGGGTTTTAGGATTTGGGGTTTGGGGTTTAGTATGAAAATATCTTGTGAAAGAGGGAGAGCTGATCTTGTTTCTTTTTTTGTTCCAGAAACATAAAAGTAGATTTTTTTCACTTCTTATTTCTGTTCCAAATCTATTCCCTGACCATTTTTCTGTTCCGGGGAACAAAAAAACTAACGTTACTAAACGGATTTCTGTTCTTTTTCTGTTCCGGGGAACAAAAGAACAGAAAAACAGAGAAACAAAAACGTTACTAAACAGGCACTAAACATGATTATCTAACGGATGGAGACCTGGGCGAGATTGCATCAACTAAGTTAGTTCAGCATGGACGTTAGTTTTCTTAAATCAGAAACCCAATAACTGGTGTAATTTCAGCTAATTCAGCCATTGTTTGCAAAAATAGTGGTAAAGTGACCAGATGTCTGATGTTGAAAGAAGGGAAAGTTATGTTTCAGCTTTTCACTTTTGCCAATCAGTTCTTACGTTCAATGCTGCTAATCGTCATCTTTTCCCAGCATTTGTGGTTCTCAGTTCTTCAATTGTGTTAATTTAAACAAGAAGGATTTTATTGGGTTCTTATTTGCCACGAACTCAGGTATCAATAATTATGCATTTGTAGTTTGAACTCTTAACTAGCCAGGCTGATGAAGGCTTTCTTCAATAAATGCTAAGAGAATGTAACAGGTGACACAAACAACTGCATAGCCAAAGCAATATTTACTCCATAACCAATGTAGGTTAAATATTGCAGAAAGATGCCACTTGTAGTCAGAATTATGGTTATTTGGAATGAACCAATTGCCCATTTTGAACCATATAAAGCTAGTGCATAAAGCAGCATCCAGCGTTCAGAAAGTGGTTGATTGGTTAACATACATGGACTTAATGCCCTGCATGACTGAAATTTTATATGATAGTGCCATTACTTATATTAGAATGAAAGAGGGAATAAAGGATTCACAATAAAAATGTGGGCTGAAAACGGGATAAAAGTTTCAAGCTCTTTCTTGCTGTGGTAGTGGACAAACCAATCCCAATGACCAATAGTTGTTAGACAAGATTTCAGTGACTTTTATATGAACTCAGAGCTTCAATTTAACTTTTGAAAGGAAAGAGTGAAGCGGCTCAAGAATATTGTAAGATTTTGTAGGACCACTGCCAACTGTTCTAAAGACTTAAACTGTTAGATGAAGGCGTAATTTGATATTTAATTATTCCAACACTCGCCCTCACGCTTAGTATGATCTTTTTTTGCCTAGTACTAAGCATGGACATATTTAATTGGGAGGCAAATGGGGCCTGGAAAAATTTGAACTTAAGACCTCCAACTCTGATACCATGTAAGATTTTGTAAGACCACTGCCAACTGTTCTAAAAGTTTAAGCTGTTAGATGAAGGCATGGTTTGATATTTAATTATTCTTACAAATATAAATTGCATTCTGGCAGAGGAAAACGGGCTGATAAAGCAGCATCAAGAGTATGAAATGAAGAGATGCCAAAATATGAGCAATTTTCATATTTTCAGCCAATTTGCAATATAAAAAGATTGATGATGACCGAAGGATAATAAATACCAATGAACAACCCCATGGCCAGAGGATGGTGCTCAAGGTCGAGAGAAGATTCAAAGAGTACTACTAGGTCAAACAGCCTTTGTGAAGTTCAATGTTAATCGGCTAGGTGTCATTAGACACAAATAGAGGTGAAGCAAATCGTAGTTCAAGCCTACAAGAAATGAAGGTATAAATGTGAGGAGGCAGGTGCTTGAGATAATATTGTTATTTCATCATGGTTTATAAATGTTAAAGGGACCTTATGTTCCAGCAAGAAACATGAATTCGTAAGGAATAAGATTGACTGCTCGAAGCAAGCAGTTAAATGAAATATATATCAGCAATCATGCAGCTAGAGGCAAAACTGGCATGGCTTGAATGGTTAGTTGTATCACTGTTTTAAGCATCCACTTGTCAAGAATAGTCTTAAATCTTTTGTAAGGATTTTCCTACTTAATTGTTATAGCCTTTCTTCTTCCCCCAGTTACTTTAACAAATTAGTTCTGGTAGTTAAAAATGCATAAAGCATGTCACTAAACAGTTAGCTCACTGGACATCTAAATCCATAATTCCGACAGTCAACGATGTGGGACTCCAAACACCCTCTTTCATGCCTGAGTCGGTTAAAAGAATATGTGAAGGAACCAGCGAGGCATGTGGAATAGAAGGTCAGGGGAGTAAGGCTAACGAGGATCCACAGGAAAAACTATCAATCAAAAGGGTAGTAAAAAACTGGATCAAGGCTTGGATACCATATTGAAGTTGCAAGGCCACTACCAATTTCTAAAACTTAATTAGATGAAAGTATGACTCTACATTAGAATACCTCAATAATTAGAAACCACATACCAGGTGATCCATTTTCGGACTGAAAGCTCCATTAGATCCGTAAGGCAGTTCTCCCACGAAAACCAAGCCATTTGGGACTGATTTACGCACAAGCCGGTTACGTACACCCTTCATAGCTTCACTGTACATCTCGTATAGGTAGGTTAGATTACTATTTTGACTACCTCCCTGATGAAGCCACACTTTCAGCAAATACTCATAATAGCTGTCCCCCCGAGACCCTAGCCTTATATTTTCTCCGCTAAATTGACCAGATTGAGGGCTGCACTCAGCAGACAAATGTCATCAGAAGAGAATGGAAGACGAATAACTAGAAACCATATGCTTGAAGAATGAGAAATCATTATTAAAGTTATTCTGCGGCACTCTTTATAATAATTGACATTGCTTAAGTAATCGTTCCATGTCTATAGGAATAAAAATTAGGATTATCAAACCTTATGTAGATAGGAACCAAGCCCTCCACCTTGGGTAGAGTCTTCAGATGCTCCAAGACTTTCATTGCCTCCAAACTGTACTTTGGATCACCAGAAACCATACTAAGATAATTAAACTCAAGCTGCAAAGTTGAAGCTTCTGAAGTACTACTCAGTCCATCAGGAGCTGGATGTGCTGAAGAATCGCGTAAAATTACATCACTATAAGGAACCGAAGTCGGACTAGCAGTGAAAGCAGATAACAGACGATCAGCCAAATCCCTAGCAGTATCCAGGTAAACTGTTGGTTTGGGACCATTTCTTGTCAATTTCATCCCCTCATCTCCTCCACTCAAATGATAGGCACTCAATAGACCACCCAACACACGTATTGTCGTCTCGAACAAATTGACTTGACCTTTGTGTTTAATCCTGTCTAATAGCTGAGTTTCAATCCACAAACCTGCTTCAGAGACAATTTCATCAGCACCCATTATAATAGCAGTATCAAGAGCATCCACAACTGTTGCACCTAAACCTCCTAATCCATCAACACCACGCTGGCTGACAGGCATGAGTTCATCATAGCCCATTGCATGTTTCTTGTAACCAGACCATGCATGGATAAAAGCATCCTTAACCTTTTGTTGTCTGCTTACCCACTTTAATCTGGAACTTGGATTCTCAGCTTCACGACCGAAAGAATTTTTTCCGCCCTTCTCATCAGGTGATAAACGAGGAGGAAGCCTTGGGGGTTTCCTCCAAAATCTTCTAAGTCCGCTGATACCATCACTATTGATCTTGTCCCCTTTATTTACCATGACATCTTTTGCTAATCCACCAGAAACTTGGGGTCCTGAACTTGTATGTGCCATGAAAAGATATGCTAAACCAAAGAGCATCACCAAAGCAAGAAACTTCCCCGTACTACAACTCAACCAATCACGCTTTATGTTACGAGTGAGCAAGGTCTGATTTATCACCTGGGAAAGCCAGAAACGAAAGAAAGCAACCAAAAACTTTTCGTTAGAATCACATACTTCTTCTTGGACAAACTAAGAGCTCAAGTTATTTGTCAAAAGAAAGGACAACCTGAAAGGATATTTTCATAAAGAGAAAAGGCTACTATTTCATTGACAAACCTTTTTGGTACTTTTGAATCACCCTTTCGTTCTTTTTTTTGGGCTAACCACATCAAAGGCCACTTGTTTGCGCTCACTGTGCTCATTACGACTAAAGTGCAAAAGTTTGACAACACCAGTCAAAGAAGTAGAACCAGTTTGTCTGTCCCTATGAGGTATAAATGATCATACTCATAACGATCAACAATATCGGATTCCTTCAGTTATCTAGTATACTCAAAATACGACAGTAATCTGGATAAAGCTAGTGGCTCCTGCCAGGTCCAGGAGCATCATAAGCGTCCCATCTAGTTTACACATCATAGCGTGAACGTAACCCAGAGTAATATCTACGCCTGTGATGAATTGAATAAATTTTCAGGCAAATGCCATCGGACAAACATGAAAGGAAGGGGTAAAACAGAAACTCGGTATAAGACTTTTCATAGCCAGACAGGACAAAGGAACCACAAAACTTTCCTACTTAAGCTTTTGAGAAGTTCAAGTGTGACAAGATCCCCCAAGGAAAAATTAAGAGAGTCTGTGCTTGGTTTATTTTTCGAAATTGATGAATTTATCCATCCTAGATATCACTAGGACACATCCAGTCAGCTATTTTTCTTGACTCAAGACACTCATTTGTGCTTTATTCCATTTTTGGCTCTAATAGACCATACAAGACAAAAGAGCATAATCATTTGTACACAATGGAACAATTGGGGCAGTGGCATCAGCAAATTACACTGTGATGTCAGAGTGAACACTTGATATCATAGCATATGATGGAATTCAATTCAGCATATACTTTCCATAGCATGCCAAAACACCCAAGCAACCTCAGGTCCATCTCTATATCACGACTTAGAAAAAGTACTATGCTACTTATAAGTTCACTGAAAAAAGACCGACGTCTGCAATTTGTCAAGTAACCTGAATGACCTCATTCAAAATCTTTGTAAGCTTAAGATGGAAACTCCTTTATAAGGAGAAGTTAATTCATCATTTTCATGTGAAGGTTACACCATGTGGCATTGACATGTGCTGCATCAAGCCAATGAAAAAATGAGTGACTCCAAAATTTAGGATGACTTGCATATCACGCAGGCAACGTGATTGATCGGTCCCACCACACCAAGTTAGCCGTATAACCAACACAAGAAATACTTCTTCCTCTAGAAAATGATCGGTTAGCTAACAATGGAACACCTGGAACGATATATAGAAGTTACGAGTCCTGGGACCCTTCTAATACACCTCACTATTTGCGCACACCTTATGGTATGGCTCTAAGAACTCGTTGGTGAGGAGATTTCGTGAGTAGAAGGAGAAGTTAACCCAAAGAGAAACAATTTATCTGAAAGAATAGAAGACAAGTTCCTAACAGAGAACCAACAAGACAAAGCAGACTGACACATGTACAAAAACTTTCTTGTTTTACCAGCTGAATTAAGCTAATCATCTATTCTGAAATTTGAGTAAGACCCCACAAGATAGAATCACTGCCCGAAACGCATACAGCCCAGACAAGTCTCACCATCGCTAGATTAAGTCGACGCTTGTTCCAGTGGAAACTGATGGATCAGATCAACTTCTACCAAAAAGCACCCACCATCTGTCCTATGCAGATACTCTAAACCGACCCAATAATCAGAACCCGAGCAAAGATCTCAAATCCCGGATCTTGAGCAGCTCAATTACGCAGAAAAGTCAACCGAACGCGAGGAACAACGAGGGTAGGCGAAGCAGCAGAAGAAGCCGGGACAAACCTTGTACAGCGATCGCTGGCGAAACTTGGCGTTGTCGTATTTGACGTCCTTCATGGAATAAGGCAAAGAGTCGGACATGGTGGCCGGGATCGCGCGCGCTCCGTCTCTCCCTCTCCCTCTTCCCTCCGATCTGCTCCGCACGGCGACAAGGCCCCGGAACGCACAGCACAGAGAGAGGCGGAGACGGAGGCGGAGGCGGAGACGGAGACGGAGGCGGAGGCGGCGATCAGCGCCCGACGGCGGATCTCCGAGAGAGATTGCAACGCGGGTTGATCGGCTTCTTGCAAGAACGGAGAGAGAGAGAGAGAGAAAGAGAGAGAGAGTAGTCTTCGGTTTTGCAGGTCAATGACCGGGCGGTGTGTTGGGTAGCAGAGGTGGCCACGGAACCCCAACCGGTTCGTGGCCAAGTGTGAACCGGAACCGTACGGTTCCGGGCCGGTTCCGGTTCGGAACCGGTTCCGGGCCGGTTCCTATTTTTTTCTGTTTTTTTTCTTTTCCTTTTCCTTTTCTTTTTTTTTTCTTCCTCCGCGGCCGGCCATAGCCGGGGCCGGCGCGGAGGTCGCCGGCCTCTAGGCGAGGCGGCCCTCGCCGCCGTCGGGCGAGACCGGCCTCGCCCGACGCCGGCGAGGTCGAGCCTCGCCCGGTTGCATCGCCTCGCCGGCGTCGGGCGAGGCCGGCCTCGCCCGGCCCGGGCGAGGGCCGCCCTCGCCGGCCGCCGGCGGGCCCCCTCGCCCGGCCGCCGGCGACCTCCGCGCCGGCCCCGGCCATGGCCGGCCGGCGGCCGCGGAGGAAGAAAAAAAATTAAAATATAAATTATAATTTTAAAAAACAGAAACAAGGAAAAAAGACAAAAGAGAAAAAGGAAAAACAGAAAAGGAAAAGGAAAAGAAAAAGAAGAAAAACAGAAAAGGAAAAACAGAAATGAAAATAAAAAAAATTAAAAAAATACAATTCTTGTGATAGAACATTATTCAATATAAATTGTGATTAAAATGTAAATTGTACTCAAATTTGGGGACAAAAAGACAAGAGAGAAAGAGAGGGCTTCAACTTAATAAATTATCATTAAGCACATTACAATTCGTTACAACGATCTTAAAAAAAAAGGAGTACAATATATATACCCTAAAATTATCCCAAAACCTAAGCATTCCGTGCGTAGGGGACCAGAGGTCACATATCGTCGGATTATATTTCGGTTTCCCTAAGCTCACGTGGGCGTACCCGGTATGAGAAACAAGAGTACCCGAAATATTTGCCAACTCCAATAGTTCTTTTACCCTCAATCGTCACTACCCGTTCCAGTACCGATAGTGGTAGCGGTAGTATCTCCGTCGTTAAAGAATTCGGATTCACTATTCCGATCTATCTCTTGTTGCCGGTATTGAGCCTTCGTCCAATCAGCAACACAAGCTTGCATCTCCACTGATTCTGGATATAATCTTGAACGATGTTCGTTCAAAATATTACCTCCGGCACTGAATGCTTGTTCGACCGCAACTATAGAATAAGGGGTTGAAAAAATCTGTTTTGCAATAAGAGAAAGGATTGGGTATTGGCTTGCGTGCCTCTTCCACCAATCCAAAATAAAAAATCTGTACCACCTTCGCTCATAAACTCAAATAAAATGGTTAGATAACTCTCTAATTCAGAAATATTTCCTATTACTCCCTTTTTTTTTTTTGTCTATGTAATAAAAGTTGGTACCCTCTACTAATTTTACCTGTCTTGTCATTTTGTATCTCCGTAGATTGAGAAGATCTAATATCACCTAAATTATATTTAGTATAAAATTCATTATATAATTCTATTACTACGTTTTTAACCTCACGTACTATGGTTGTAACATTTGTCACATCATAATGTAAACATTGATAATACGCACGAAAAAAATCATTTAAGCCATCCAATTTGCAACGCGGATCAAAAACACAAGCAACTAAATAAATCATGGGAATTTCACTATAATAATGAAGCCATTTCATTTTCATTGCAACTACAGTATGTTGTAATTCAATATCATTTTCATATTCATCAAAAGTTCCGACAATATTAGTACACTCTACTAAAAATAAATGTGTAGTAGGATAATAAACACCAGACAAAGTATAAGTTGCATCATTAAAAACCTTTAAAAGATCTAAATTTTTTTGGCAAATATGCCACTCTTGTGGGTATAAATTAATCTCAGGTATATTATTAGAAATAAATGCACATAATAAATCTTTATATGCTAAAGATTCACTAAGCAAGTGGAAAGTAGAATTCCAACGAGTTGGAACATCTCTTGGAAATCTTTTTGGCTTTTTGCCATTATCTCTACAAAATCTACCCCATTCTTTCATTTTTTTGGGATGTTTCCATAAAAATTGAATCGCCGTTTTTATTGGTTGAAGAAAAATATCAAGAGTTTTCAAACCATCTTGTACACATAAATTTAAAACATGACAAGCACATCTAATGTGAAAAAATTTTCCGCCAAAAGCGGGTTTACAAATATTTTCTAACTCGGCAATTGAAGCGGTATTTGCTGCGGCATTATCAAAACCAATTGAAAAAATTTTGTTAAGCAAATAATATTTTTCTAAAACTTGCCTAATTAGTCTATAAATATTATTTGTCGTATGATGATCATCGAAAACTCTAAATGCAATAACTCTTTTTTGAATAGTCCACTCGTCATCTATCCAATGACATGTTATGCCCATGTAAGAATGATTTTGCCAATGATCACTCCAAATATCACTACCTATATGCACGCATCCATTAAATTGCATAAAAAAGTTTTGTAAATCATTTTTTCCATTTTTGTAAAGATCTTTAATTACTCGTTTAGTTGTATTTCTAGAAACACGTTTTGCTTGTGGAGCACATGCTTTTTGTACAAATTCATTAAAACCAAATCTTTCTCCAAAATTAAATGCTAAATGCTCAACGGAAATAAATTTGCCTAATTCTTCCTTATAAGTTTTTTCATTAAAACGAAATAAAGGGGAAGTGTTAGGATTGACGTACCCGGAAATTTGTTGTTGCCCGATATCGATTCCCGTTTCAGTTGGATGTTTGCTCATAAGATGTCGTTTAAATGTTCCATATCCTTGTCCACCTGTATATTTATATATTTTTCCACAATATTTACAAATTATATCATACCTTTTTTGACCGATATCAAACCTTTCCATTTTCGTGAAGTGATTCCAAATGTCGGACGTAAATTCCCGTTCCGCTTCCTTTGTTGTAGATATTTCAGCAGGAGGATGAAAACTTTCTTGCGTCGGGACGCGCTCCACATCGTGAAAAATGTTGATTCCATCATCTTGAAAATCTGCATATTCACGAGGATCAAAAGAATGATGAGATTCCGTCGCGATATTCTTACCTTTGCCAGTTGGCACTCGACTTCCACTTGCCATTTTTCGAATAGATTGAGAGAATTGAGCGGATTAATTGGGAGAATTAAGAAAGAATTGCGTGGATTGAGAAAATTGAGAGAATTTCAGAGAATTTGAGAGAATTTCGAGTATTGAGAAAATTTGAGACTTGAGAGAAGAGAATTGGAGAGAATTTGAGAGAATTGTGTGTGTATTGTGAGAATTTGAGAGAATTTATAGGAAAAAAATAGAAGAAAATTTAGAATTAAAAAAAATAAAACATAACCGTTGCAAAATTGCAACGGTTATGTGTTTTTTTTTATTATTATAAAAATGCCCGTTGGGGCGTAGCCGTTGCCCCAACGGGCCGCACGCCGCAAGGTGCTGCGGCGCAGCAGGGCCTACACGTCTGCAGGCCCTGCTGCAAATAAATCTATTTTTTTTTTTTTTTGGTTGGGCCGTTGGCCCGTTCTCTCGCGGCCCGCAGGCCGCCGTAGCGCCGCAAAGATGGCCCGCACCGCAGTGGTGCCGTAGCCTCGCACCCGAACCGACGGTTCCGGCCGGTTCAAATTTTTCTGGAACCGGAACCGGGACCGTATGCCACGGGCGGGTTCCGGTTCCGAACCGCGGGCCCGGTCAATGGGCCGGGCCCGGGTTTGACCGGGCCAGTTCCGGTCCGGTTTCGGGCCAAAACCGGCCCGTGGCCACCTCTAGGGTAGGGTGCGCATGGAATGCATCCCAGAATAAAAATTCTGTTCCGGAATGCATTTCGGAACGGACCGGCGATTGTTAAAAAATTTCCGAAATGCATTCTGGAGCAATTTTTGCATTCTGGAATAAAAATGCATTTATTAAAAATACTTGATTACAGAATGTATTCTTGATTCTAGAATGCATTTTTTATTTCGGAATGAGTTTTTGGCAAGAAAAAGAGAAGCTACTTGAATCCGGAATGCATTCTCCCTATTTTCTCACAAATTTTTTTTTTCAGAAAATGCATAAAAATTGAAAAATTCTAGAAAAATTCATAAAAATTTCCAAAAAATAAAAAAAAAGTCAGATTTCGAGAAAATATGAAATTTGGTGAATTTTTTTTTAAAAAATAAAAAAAATCAAAATTTTCAAAACTTAACAGAATAGCTTAAAACACATGTGGCCACCCACTTTGAGTGAAATTTAAATTTTTTGAGGTGCCCAAAAAAAATCAAAAATTTCAAAACTTCACAAAATGGCTTAAAATACCTATGGCCACCTACTTTGAGTGAAATTTAAATTTTTTGAGGTGCCAAAAAAAAAGAAAAATAATAAAAAATAAAAATTTTCAAAACTTCACAAAATGGCTTAAAATACCTGTGGCCACTCACTTTGAGTGAAATTTAAATTTTTTGAGGTGCCCAAAAAAATAAAAAAAAATAAAAAATTTCAAAACTTCACAGAATGGCTTAGAATATCTGTAGCCACCCACTTTGAGTAAAATTTAAATTTTTTGAGGTGCCCAAAAAAATAAAAAAATTCAAAACTTCACAAAATGGCTTAGAATACCTGTGGCCACTCACTTTGAGTGAAATTTAAATATTTTTAGGTGCCCAAAAAATATTTAAAAAAATAAAAAATTTCAAAACTTTACAAAATGGCTTATAATACATGTGACCACCCACTTTGAGTAAAATTTAAATTTTTTTAGGTGAAAAAAATCAACAAATCAAAACAGATTTCTGTTCCAGAAATCAATTTCTGGAGCAGAATTAGTCATGTTTTACCAAACAGATTTCTCCTCCAGAAATCAATTTCTGACAAGAATTCCAGAAATCAATTTATGGCAAGAATTTGATTTCTGGAGCAGAATGGTTACCATTCGCACCCGTAGTGTCGGGCTAATCGAGAGGTTAGGGACATCTCCTCCACTTCGTCGCATGTTTCCCTGTTTTTTTATTTTTGCTTTTTCATTCTTTTATTTATTTATTTAAACTCCGTTTATTTTGCAATAAATGAATAATTTAAAAAGTATATTCGCAAAAATAATCACAAAAATGAATGAGTAAAAGATATTTTCGTCTAAACCGTTGTCGATGATAAAAATATTTAAAATTGACTAATTATTTCCAAGCGATCGAAACTTTTTTTCAAATCATTCATTTTTTTGAGCGAAACAAGCGCACCTGATTGAGATGTCCGTTAACAACAATAGATATATTGAAATTGATTTAATAAGTTAGTTTCCGATCTACTTATTTAAAGATTCATTTTATCATATCATGACACGTAGTACGTCAATTTTGTGAAGCGATTTTAGTACACCTAGCATTATTTCTAAATCTTGCGTAATTCATGTCCAAATTCAATGATCAGAGAGAATGTGTTTTCAAGTCGCTCTCTGAGTTTGATTTTTGATCTATCTTGATAAGTTAATCTCCTCTTGTATTATATTGGATCGAAAATTCTACACTTTTTATTTATAAAGTTCTCTTTCTGTTGGTCAAAGATAAAATGGTTCGTAGCAGGGGTAATTGACTTTAGGGTGATTTGGTTCCTAACATGTAATCAGAAAAATATTTGAATCACGAACCTAGCCGGTAAGTTCGGGAATTGCCGCAATCTAAACTGGCCCGTTTTATGTTTTGAGTAAAAGATTAAATTCTTATAGTGAAATATAAAAGCAGCACCATTTGGCTATGAAAATATTTGTTGTTCATATGGTTATTGTGTTATTTGTTTATGTTGAAGAATATAGTTCGATTCTTAAGGAGTACAAGTGCTCTTGATTTTTTTTTTTCTAAAAAAAAAGGCTTTAGAACCAATTTTCCCAAGTAGGATTCCTAGGCATGTTATAGATTTTAGAAACGAAGAACGAATCAATTCTCCCTCTTCCAATGACTTGTAGTCGAAAAACCAAGAACTATACTCTCGAGTTGAAAACACGAATTCCTTTTGACGGCTGGCTGCGCTACCCTCGTTAAATCTACAATGATGGTCATCCCAAACTACTAAATGCAAGTCGGGGCTGAGTGAGTCGAATCATGACGAAAGTATTGGCACCTACATATTATTTAAAATGTCTTTTTTGTGTTTTCTAAAAAAGGAAGAAAAAAAAGAGAGAGAGAAAATTGAGACTTAGGCGACGGCTGATGATGCATAAAAAATGGGCATCCAAGATGAAAAATTCGACAATTATGGACGTTCTTTTTAATTAGGTTTAATATTACGAAAAACGCCAAATTGATACATTTGTGACCGTGACAAATTTATTCAAAATTAATTTTTTTGATCATAAAAAATCTCAAACTGATATACTCATGACAAATTTACCCAAAACTAATTTTTTGACCATAAAAAATCTCGGACTTATACACTTATGGCAAATTTACCCCTTGTTAGTTTCAACAAACGAAAAGTAAAACCTCAAATCGGTGAACCCGTCAACTGCCACGTAGCTTTCCGACCGGTGGGCTGCCTTTTCTCTCCATTTCGGGTGCGTTTGGTACATCATTTGGAATGCTACTTTGGGAATGCAAATGCCTTTGGGTGGAAGCCCTTTAGGAAAAATGCAAATGGCGTTTGGTAAAAACTCATTTGCAAAGCTATTTTGACCCAAGTGGTGTTTGGTTAATTTTTTTTACAAATGGGCTTTGAGGGGGTTTTTTTAAAAAAAAGGCAAAAATACCCTTCGCCGGCTCCGGCGAAGGGCTACGGCTCCGGCGAAGGGCTACGGCCGCCGGCGAGCCAGATCTGCGCCGGCGGCCGTCGCCCGTCGCCGAGCGACCCCCGGCAGAGGACGCCGACCTCGGCGACGAGGCCCGAGGTCGCGCGACCTCAGGCCGACGGCCGCCGGGTCGCGCGACCCAGCCGACGGCCGCCTGGGTCGCGCGACCCTGTGCCGACGGCCGCCTGGGTCGCGCGACCCAGCCGACGGCCGCCCTGGGTCGCTGCTGACCCAGGCCGACGGCCGCCTGGGTCGCTGGCGACCCCAGCCGACGGCCGCCTGGGTCGCGCGACCCCAGCCGGACGGCCGCCGAGGTCGCGGGACCCAGCGGCCGCACTGGCGGTCGCCCGACCCCGAGCGGCCCGCACTTCACAGGCGGTCGCCCGACCCCGAGCGGCCGCGCTCAGGCGATCGCCTCGACCCGGCGGCCGTCGCTGGGTCGGGCGACCTCGCCGGACCAGCCGTCGTAGGCCCTTTGCCCTCGGAGTCCCTTTGGTGAAGAAGATGAACGAGAACGAGAGGGCAAAGCGGAATATTGAAATTTGAGTGAGGGTAGTTTGGGAAGTATAAAAATGATTTTGGCATTTGATTCGAAATTTGAAAGTCAAAGCTAGTCTTGATCAGCATTGGGCTTTTAGCATTGAAAATGCTAGTTTTGAGCATTTTCAATGCTCAATGCTAACCGTTTGGTTCAGCATTTTTGGGAAGGGGCTTTCGGGGCTGAAAGCCCCATCCCAAAAATGCTGAACCAAACGCAGCCTTCGTACCTTCAGGTTACAGAAGCTCCGCAGCGCCTTGGGTTTCGTTCGATGGTTGCTGCTGCCTGAAATCGAAGCGTAGTCGCTTCCACACATGCTGTCGAAGAGGATCAAAGCCATGTCGAAGAGGAATTTCATCAAACGCCTGTCGTGCACCATCTCTCCCGCCGTCCCTCGGGCGTCGTCCCGGTCCCTTGCCTCGCTCCCGACACTTACCCACCAAAGCAGCCCGGGAGCTCCACAGAACCAAGCCGTTCAAGATCCGTACTCTCTCCTTAAGGAGGATCCCGTCGACCTTGTTTCCTCGTTATGGGTGAAATCCTTCTCTTCGCCGACCAACGTCGTGTTCCCGAACCTCACGGGCTTCCTGGCGAAATTTGACCTCTGGGTCCTCGCCTACCAACGAACCTGTGCTCACGCGACCGGCACGTTCCCGCCTCGCAATGCCATTCATTTCGGCACTCTCCTTTCTCTCCTGTCCCTCAGGAATGCGGTTACTCGCAGCAAATTCAAGTGGAACGACAAGACCCATCAGCTGGTTCGCAGCCCTTACGATAGAACAGGCACGAGGGTAATCTCTAAAACCAAGCTGAAGGCCATTTTGGAGTCGAGCGAGCCCTGTTTCCAAGATAGGGTGGTCCAGGAGGTTCTGCTGATGATTCTCGAGCCGGTTTTCGAGGCTCGCTTTTCGGTAAAGTCACATGCTTTTCGGCCAGGAAGAAATGCCCATACTGTTATCAGGACAATTCGGAGTAATTTTGCCGGGTATTTGTGGTTCTTGAAGGGTGATGTATCTGAAATTTTCAACAGTTTGGATTTAAATGTGGTGATGGGTCTTTTGGAGAAGGCTATCAAAGACAGAAGAGTGTTGGGACTAATCAAGTCAGCATTCAGAGCCACGGTTAGGAATCAAATGCCGAGGGACGACAATGAGAAGTTGAGAAAAAGGAAGAAAAAGGAGACCAAGAAGAAGATTCTGCACGAGAACGAGCCAAAACCAGATCCTTTCTGGTTAAGGACCTTTTTCGACTTTGCACCTGAGGAGGCTGCCAAGGTACCCGATTATGGTTGTTGTGGCATTATAAGTCCTTTACTTGCTAATGTTTGTCTAAATGAACTGGATCATTTCATGGAACGGAAGATTGTTGAGTTCTTCAAACCATCTCAGTTTGATTCCATATGGAAAAGTTCAATTGATGATGGATGTCATAACCCTTCTTGGCCTGAGTTTGTTCCTTCTAGTGGGAAAGAGAAGACAAGGAAAATGGATTATATTAGGTATGGGGGTCATTTCTTGATAGGAATTCGAGGGCCTAGAGATGACGCTGTGCAAATTCGGAAGGAAATTATTGAATTTTGCGATGTACAATTTGGTTTGAGGCTGGATAATTCGAAGTTGGAGATAGAGCATATCAGTAGAGGTATCCAGTTCTTGGACCATATTATCTGTCGTCGAGTGATACATCCGACACTCAGGTACACTGCTACTGGAGGCAAAATTGTGAGTGAAAAAGGTGTGGGCACTCTGCTTTCAGTTACTGCCAGCTTACAACAATGTATTCGTCAATTTAGGCGTCTTAAGTTTGTTAAGGGTGATAAGGATCCTGAGCCATTACCCTGCACTCCAATGCTTTACTCCAGTCAAGCTCATTCAAATGCTCAGATGAATAAGTTTCTGGAGACCATGGCAGATTGGTACAGATATGCTGACAATCGCAAGAAAGTTGTGGGATTTTGTGCTTATGTGATTCGAAGCTCTCTAGCTAAACTCTATGCTGCAAGGTACAGACTAAAATCTCGTGCCAAGGTATACAAAATAGCTTCCCGTAACCTTAGCCGCCCATTAAGAGAGAGTACCAACAATTCTGCGCCTGAATATTCTGATCTTTTGAGGATGGGGCTTGTTGATGCAATTGAAGGCGTTCAGTTCTCCCACATGTCTTTGATTCCCTCCTGTGATTACACTCCCTTTCCTAGGAACTGGGTTCCTTATCACGAAAGGGTACTGCGTGAATATATCAAACTGGAAGACCCCAAATTTTTCTGTGAGTTACATAGATCGATAAAGAGGCAGGGTTTAAGTTTGCCTCAAGATGAGGTATCTGATATTGTGTGGGACTGTAAAGTTTGTGGCTTAAGGCGTCATCGAATTGATGTGTGAAGGTTGGTTCACTCAAGCTCTTCTTTAACAATGCCATAGGAATATAAAGATAATAAAATTTCCATTAAAAATGCCTTGTGGTCAGTCCTTTTCCTAATCGTTCACCTGGAGTTTAATTGAATGCTGGGCACTAGATAGGCTACTGCATTTTTGACTGGATGTAGATCGATTTATTCAGACTGGATAGCTATAATAACATTTGTTATAATAAATGGTGCAGAGATGCATCAAAGTAACTTTAGCAGATTTTTTGAGTCATTCTAGCTCGATTGTTTGCTTTCCTGCAGATAAAAGGATCACACTCTTTTTAGTCTTGGCTCAAGGTTATGTAGCATACTAATCGACCTATTGAACCTACCAATTTCCACCTTTCAATATTTAATGCCTAGGTAAGCCTTCTGTTCTGTTTTTCTGCATATCTCCACCTGTGATGTTTTATATTGCTATCCCTTATGTAAGTTTTACCTCTCAATAGCAGTCTATGATATTTTATAGGAGGAACTCTCTTTGGAGGAATGAGTTAAAATCCTGGGGTACCAAAGGGAGCACTCCTAAAAGTGAGTTGTTGAAATTTTTCGCCTTATCAATCTCAGAGGCAGTGGTGGAAATGTGAGTAGTGCATCAAATTGGATAAGTTCATGGTATCATTGGTCTTCTCTAATGTGACTCATGTATCTCTACTCAGAAACCTTGAAAAATCCCATCTGAATTTTTCATTAATGAGTAAAATGTCTTTTAGCCAAAATTAAACAATTTCGATAAAATACAGTCCATAAACAAAGTACCACCAGTTTGCCTTTACAAAAGGAAAAAAGTAATTTATTCTGGGGTTGTATTAGAATGATCTGGCATATTTTGCAAAAGAAATTATTGTAGGCTTGATCTTCAGGCCTTGTGATTTCCTCTTATGCCCATAAGAAGACTATTTGATTAATTTGTTACAAATGCATCTGATCCTGAGTAAATATATCTTGTCGTAATTTGTAAATATTTATACATCATGCTAGCCTAATGAAGCAATTCGCTTGAAAACTTGCTTTTTGCCCATCTAAGCTCTTCGGCCTGTGTTCAGAATCTTTTTAGTTACTAAGAGAATGGCCAAAGCACTATCACACAACCAGTGCAGAGTTGTGATTTATTGAGTGGTCATTTTGTATCTGCCCTGCTGCGAATAGATCTTTTCCTTCTTTGCATGAAGGTTTCTGTGTAAGACAGCCAGCTGGCTCCTGAGACCTATAAGTATGAGATTATATATCATCTCTATTCTTGCCTTCAGTATGTGGTTTCTGGTTACTTTTCAGGTTACTTGAAATCGCCTGGTACCAGACACATTACCCTGATTGTTGCTCCTCTATACCAACTTTTGCCGATCTTTATTATATGGATAAGTGCGCCAAAAATTTTAAAACTTATCATAGAAGTGCAGTCAAGTCTTAAAATTTTTAAAAAACGTAATCAAGTCCTAAAATTTGTTAAATTTGTCCAATTAAGTCCTCCCATTAACTCTGTCCAACTAGGCTAACGGAAGATACCGACATAGCTTTTTTTTGTTACTATATTAAGATACGTGGCGCCAATATGGCCCCACCATGCGCCATATCATGAAAAAATTAAAAATTTTAAAAAAGAATAAAGAAAAATAATAGTGAATAAAAACCAAAAAACAATACTGTTCATCTTTTTCGTTCTTTCACTGATGCACAAGGTTTCTTACATTCTCTATTTTCTACAAACCTAAGCTTTCTGTCTGAGAGGGAATAGAACTCACGCTCTTGCCTATGCCGCTTCTCCATGAGTATCAGCTATGGAGCACTCGTCCCCATCGTAGTGTGAAGCCACACACGACGCGCTACGCTGAAATTGATCAACCATGACTATCTTCCGTGCCATGAGTTTGAGCAGGTCCTCATGAAGATTCATCCAATCGTTTGCCATGATTCGAAGCTTTGTATTACAAATTCAAACCCACTTTGAATTAAATTAGGATAGATATAGAAAAAGAAAGTGAAAATTACTGACCAATATAAAAATTTCCTCAAGATCTTCAAGAACCTTAAACAAAAGCTACTGAAGATTACCGACAGGCAAATCCCCTTTAAACCTTAGTGCATCACATTTGCTCTTATTGAAATTTATTGACTGTCTGTCTCATGATGAATTTTCTCTCATTAACATAATGCCCAAATTTAATGGGAGGAACTGTTCCGCGTTCGGCCACTCGAAGAGAAGATACAGAGAATATGGCAGAAGAAGAAGAAGATCAACAGTTTATAGCTTGCACAGCAATGAAAGAAAGAAGATTAACAGTCTAAGTTTTGGTCTTTATTAATTGTTTTTTCCATTTTTTTAGTTTTTATTATATTTTTTAAGTAAGAGTTTTTTTTTTCTGATGTGGCACTTGATGGGCACCACGTGGACGTCAAGTGTCATAAGAAAGTAATAAAAAAAATCATGTCAGTATTTTTAATTAGCCAAATTGGATGGAATTTTGACGGATGGACTTGATTGCACCAATTTGACGAGCTTTAGAACTTGATTGCACTTTTGGAAAGTTTTTTTGACTCCATTGCACTTTTGCATTAAGTTTTAGGACTTCAAGTGCACTTATCTCTTATTATATCATCTCCGGAACTATATTGAACTTTCAAGGATTTGGGCTTAAATTGGAAAGCTCATAGCAAATTTGGGAAACACTACGGGCTTCGGAGATAAATTACTACTCCCACATGTAAATATCATCGAGTTGCCTGCAATACATAGATGGTGTAAACAAGTCTTTTTGGACCCAGTTTGTTGAGGATTAAGGCCCTCTTTCAGCTGCCTTAGTCTGTTTTTGACCTTCTATCCGCTAAAATTCATTGGAAATCCCAAAACTTCAAGAGTTATTTATTGGCATATCATCTTTCAGCATCCAATTGGCTTTGCTATTTAGCAATAACTTCTGAACATCCTTAGAGTCCTACATGCGATTTTTAGAACTCTCCCTTCCAGGTAAAACTTTTTCTGGTTGAAAACGATCTTGCTGTTGAACTGACTCAACACCGTGACATATAATTTAGATGCTTTTGGGGACAAGTGCTTGAATCAAGTCTGAAGATATCCATCCTGACACATAGTGAGGGATCCACATTGCAAGGTGTGGGGGCAATTGCCACCATCAAAGAAAAGTTCTAGATCTGTCCCTATTGACACGTCATTATTTCTGAAGGAATCTAGAATATTCTGTCATCCATTTCCTCCTTGCAACTGTACAGTCACTGTGATGCTGTTGTGCGATCCATAGCTAGCACTCTGTTACCGTGAAATGAAGTGTACTTTTTCTTGACTGGGCATAGCCTTAAACAACATAGATATGATCTTTGAAAATTTCACAGAGGAAAATCTGATCTGTGTATCACTTGCCTAGCTGCTTATAGATATTCCGAGCTCTATTAAAAGTGTTATAATGGTCGTTAAATTCTCTGCCTTTCTGAACCATGTAGAATTTCATACACTTTCCAACTCTTGTACCTTTCACCGTCAACTCTCTCAATTTCCTCTGTTCTGGGAAAAATTATCTTGCAACATCTATATAGTAATTCTTTTTAGGCTGCCATAAATCATGCTTCGGTTCATGATTTCCATCCTTGTCCAGGTGTCCAAAAAGCGCGAGATGTCCAGCTATCAGAGAATTTGAAAGGTGTCAAGCAGATTTCACTCTACTTAAGTTGCCAATTGCAGGTTGTGATGATCTTATGAGGGATTTCAATTGTTGCAGTGCTTTCGATCGGACAAAGTCTGCAGTTTGTGACATTCAGGTGAGGTTATAGTTTGATATTTTCGATTGTGCACCCTAAGTAAGATAAACTTAACTCATGGGCATCCTTAGATAACAAGAGCCTATGGAATTCACATGGTCCAAAGATCTGGCCATATGTCAGTATTGGCCCATTCAAGGGGGCTAGTTGACGAAGCAACATGTTAACATCTGTGTGTAAATTGTTTTATGACAAGTTTTCAGTCACATAAAATAAACAAAAATCACCTTGCCCATTCATCTTGAAATTCTCGAAGCACATGTATGGTATATTGTCACATATATTGCTGATTCACTGCACTCTTTTCTGGATGGATTATGTTTAAAACACTCGGTGCAAGTTGTATTAGAGTGCATTTTGACTATTTCCCAACCGGTGCAAGTTGTATTATAGAATGCATTATGACCATTTCCGAACCTTCCGGGGGAAGCCAATGTTGCACTCTGTTTTTGCTAATGAAAGCATGTGGGTGGATCAAAGTCTTGAAGGCTATTGTGGCATGAGATTTTGAGCTCCTCTACTCTATGATCCACTTATGTCTTCCTCACTCCACAGATATATGGTTCATATTTATCCTTTTCGATCAAGTTACTCTTAGAACATACAGTAAGATTCATGGTGGGTATTATCTCTTTTGGTTTATGATTTGATTTAGTCTACGGGGCGCGCGCACACCCCTAAAGTTTGCAACTTGAAATTGGGCTGTCCTGATCACATGTCAAATTCTGATCAGAATTCATTTAAAAATTCTGTCATTGCATAGCATTGTAATATTCGCTGCGCATTCTAAGAAGTCCATTTGTTTGGATTGTGTAACTTTCAAGTTTATCAATGTTAGTTCCATAAACGTATCGAGTTTGTGTCAAGTATCTTTCGATCAATCATGGCTGCAACCAGTGCCGGCCACCACCTTGCCTTTGCCACCATCACTAGCGTTCCAAGTATCTCACAATGCTCAGAGAGGTTGTAGGGCAAGAAAATGAAAGGGTGTTGTGATTACAACATCTATGGTTTGAAAACATTCACACATCGAGGCTGTCATGATTACTGATTTAGGTGGGATTGGTGTGAAGGCGACTCAAGAAATTTCAGCCTCCTTTTTTCTGTGCCGATGCTATGCTGTGGTGCGAGGTGTAGTTAGCGTCTTTTTCTCCAAAAAGTTACAATGAATCTTTGACCAAAAATCCTATGTGATGCCGTTGCAATCTTTGTCTAGAATGGAGACAGTCTTGTCCAGACCGGACGGATGATTCGCGGTCATTGGTTATGTGGTGGGTCCTACATGATCAAAGGTCGCGATGGGCTCGGGTCCAAACAAGTATTTCCCCAAGAGACGACCAAACACATGGCTATGCGTACACATGCAATTAGAAAGAGACGACTCGTAAGAATAAAGAAAGAAGACGACGCGATCCCTGATGAGGGACTCATATGCCAAAGAGTGATTCTCTTTCGATTGCATCAGTAAGTGTCACGATATTCAGGACAATGTTGGATGCGCATGTTCGATAGATGCGTGGGGAAACTAAACACGATGCGGTCGATAGTAGCGCTTTCGTGCATCTTAATGCCTGGGATAGAAATGCATGGAGAGATTTTTAGGTGCTTTTGCTATAGCGTTTCCGCTCCGTCCAAATCCAATTTTTAGTTTATTCTAGGAGTAAATAGTAGGCAGGGATCACCACCCGCCTGGGTGGCGCTGCTGGAGCGCGCACTTTTCCTCTCGCAAAAGGTTGAGCGTTCGAATCCCGGGCGCCGCAGGGTGACTTAACCGGTGGCACGTGTGTGGTGGCTAGCACGTGTCGCCCCCAGGGTTTACTCCCCGGCTGTCGGCCGTGCGGGGGTTCCTGGGTTACCAAAAAAAAAAAATAGTAGGCAGGGATCCGTTTTACTACGTGTGCATGATTAAGTTTGACGCATCTCTATAAATAATCAAACTAGGGTATTCTATTTTCTTTTTCCCGTTGAGTCGGGTAGAAATTGCCGGACTTTCTTAGATGTTAAGAACATGGGAGCCTCACCGTTTGGGACTCTTTGTCCTGTTGATAGGGGGCGTGTCTAGATTGACTTTTACCAATTACTTTTTGCTTGATCTAAATGTTGCGGCGAATACATTTTGACCATTTTCTTTCAAAACCTTAAACACCTTTTAAACACCTACGATAGTTGAACAAATCATCTTTGCCAAAAGCTTAAGTTTTTAGGAAATATTCCCCCTCTTGTGCGGGTAAGCCGGTCTTTACATGTGCAAGTTAGGTTGTGGATGGGAGTGTTAGGATTCGAACTCTTGACTTGTGCATTGTTATCAGTTTAGACAAACCGTTTTTCTCAAAAGTTCAAACTATTAGGAAATAGGTTAACATTATATTTATAGCAGATTACTTAATAGACCTTCACAACACATCAATATTGACTTTAAAATTAGCATATTATCTTTTCAAAATCTTTCGAAATTTGATTTATAATGACGATTTGGCGGGAACATAAGAAAGCACCTTTTGCTTTTACTTTTTGTAGAGTTACTAAGGGTGTGCAACCGGACCGGATTTACCTGAGAATCGAACTTGACCACTCGAAAAATAGGTCCAGGAACCGGTTCCATTTTTTTGGAACCGGTTGGAATAAGTCCAATTCCCAGTTCCAAGTGAAGACCCACTCGGACCGGTTTTGGAACCGGTTTTTAGCTTATATTAAAAAACAAGCCATAGATCATATTATTACTATATTTTGGATTGTTGCTTTTGGCGGATAGTAATTTTTATTGCTCATCTTATGGATTGTTGCTTTTAACGGATAGTGATTTTTATTATTTATCTTTTACTTTAAATCGTTTTATTGCTACTCATATTATTTTGCTGAAAAAAATGAAACCAAAAAAAAGAACAAAAGAAAAACAGGTTCTCAAATAGATCTTGAAACCGGACCAGAAAAATAGGATATGTTCCAAAACAGGTTCCAGGATAAATAGAGTAGGTTATAGGCTTCAAAAACTAGAAACTGGTTATAACAGGGTAGGTTTCAGGTTCTAGATCTGGAACCCACTCATCCTGAAATCTATCACCTCAGAAAGTTACTATGGACTGTTAAAGTTGAGCATCCAACCATTTGTCCTAGAAACCTAAACAGTTAAAAATCTCTAGTCCCTCTTTTATTCTATGAGACCAGTTTCATCTTCTTTTTTATGTTTATCTTAATAAGGATGACCTTTTTTTTTTTTTTTTTTTTTTAATAAGGATGATCTTTGAAACGTCTAGAACCTTTCAAAGAAAATTACAAGGCGTAATTTGTGACGGGATCATCGTCCTTAGGGTTTTCATCCTTAAAAAAGTCGGCAGTATGAAACCGAACATTTTGTCGTAAGATTTATAGCAAAAATTCCATGCCGCGTGAGGTCCTCCGCTTTATTATTAGTATATTTTCTGTAGTGGTTTTCTAAAGTGTCTACAGACAATTTATGTTCATTCAATGACATGTGATCTTGTCACCCATGTCCACATCAATGGAAGGCAAAAAGTAGCAATTGATTAGTTATAAAAAGAAGGGGATGACTGTGCAGTACACTCAAGTCTCAGTTTAAGAAATACAAATAGTAGAATTTCCACTAATGTAATCGTTTCTTTTCACAAAATTGGCGGCTTTAGCTGCCAAATCTTCAAAAAAGGAAAAAGGGGCATTTGACGAATTGCAAAGATCCGCTGACCCGTCACATGAGCAGATTCTAGACATTGATTTCAAATACACATCCATCAAAGAATAATAATTGGGAGCAGGAAGGCAGTTGAGATCCTATCCTATGCTATGATTAAAGGAAAGTTTAGGGGCCTGTAACGCAATAGTATGGATTAGGTTTTTTTTCACTCAAACTTTTGATTTCTGAAATTGCAATCTGACGTGTGTCGGAGTCGACAAGAATCTTATTTGACTGTGTTGTGAAATCAGTCTGATTGATGGACTCTTGTCGACTTTGACAGATGTGTCAACCAAGTTCATTGGGTTTGAAGTTGGAGGGAGTTGAATAGAGAAGTTATGTGAGTACAACGACTGGGATTAGTCCGAGGACTTGGTTGGAGAAAATGGATAACTTCAAAGTGCCGAAAGCAGATTCTTACCATGGAATTCATACATGTCCGGATATTAAGATGACTTGCAAATTGAAATGATTTTTCATTGACAGTGCACAAACTACAAGCTCAAATTGAAAAAATGGTAATCTTAACGAGTGCTCTTTGCACGACCAAATAAGTTATATTTAGAGTTCTTATTGTACTACTTTTCTCTTTTATAATAGTACACTAATGTCTAGCATTATCACTTTCAGCTAATATTCATTAGCCAACACAATTGATGGGTGCCAACTAATCGGTATGTAGACAATTGGACAAGGTGGTATCTTTGTCAAGTGGAAGTTCCTAGAATGCATCACTTTCGCTTTTGACCTATTTGTGCTTTAGAAACCTGACAATTTGATCCAACCCATTTTTCCAATGTTCCCACTCTAGGAATAATCAGCCTTTCTGTGCAATTCCTAATAAAAAGATTAGCCTTGGATTTCCAGCAATTATTAACAAAAAAAAAAACACGAGACTTTGAAAATCTCTCCTTGATCACTTCCTATGTTCCAACTAATGATGGTTGGCCTTTAGCATTTGTTGGGTTTGAACATGTCATTCCCCACCTTGTGTAAAAGTTAATTTTTAAGAAGTTGTCCCCTTCAATCACACACCCCTCTATTACTAATTACATTTCTGGCTATCATTAAGGCAAAATTCTCAATCTAAAGTCAACTAATCTAATCAAGCTTTCTTACACAAAGTCAAAAAATGTTGCCCGTGGGTCTACTCCTTGCACAGAAGCTCCAAATTACCACAACTACTACGAAAAACATTCACACAAGAAAGATGAGGTATAAAGTTATCTAAATCATTAAAATAAATTCTTAGTATTTAAGAGTTTTTTAAGAATCGTGTAAGCAACATTAGTTTGATTCAATCAAGTAGCTACCATTTATAATAATTTGGTGAGAGAAGCAATCCAGGTTCAATTGAATGTCAATTGTCATGCTAAAAAGGGTTTTTTTTTTTTTGTATCCAATCACATGTAAGAGGTTAGACAATCCCGTGAACTTTCAAAAATGCTCCTCCAAGAGTAGGATTCTCAAGAATCTTTCAATCGCATGTAAGGGGTTTGGTGTGTTTAAGAACTGAAGGTCCGGTTCAAATCCAACAAACTGCATGCAAATCAGGGCCACGAGGTTTTTAAAGTGTTTTATGAGCCGACAGGTTGCTCCTTGATCATTAAAGTATGTTCATGATTAAACCCCAAGTGACACTTGTCTTGTCCTATGTTTATGGGCTAATCCTAATTACACTCTTACTTTATACAAATAACTTTACAGCTAGTAAATGGACCAAGGATAAGCATCCTAAAATTCTACAGAAATCGAACAACTAATTCATAATTCGAAAGTAATCCGATCAGATATCGATGGGATTTTGTCTTGCATCGATCGTCCATGCTATAAAAAGCAATTGCATTTGTATTTAAATGAACTATGATATGCTTTGGCTTGGTCTATAAAAGTTTCAAAGCAGTTTTGTAGTTTGATTTAATCTAAAAAGAAAGTGATCAAATGATTTTGTTCGTGTTTAGTATTTCCATATCCTTCAAAGTTCGCACACTAGCAAACTAAATTTTTTTTTTTTACATCAACAGGGTGTCCAGGATTTTCTGAGCACCCCACTAATCCCCGGTGCTCCCACCCTACACATATCAAGTAATTATTAGAGACACGTGCTCCTCGATCACGTGCTCCTTGGTGGCCTCAAGTAATTCAAGAAGGGATGGTCTAAGATAAAAAGCTAGATAATGTGGATTGAGCTCCACGCGGCTTTCATCTATTTTGTTCGAAAGACACTCGTCACAAAATGTCGCTTATCTCAGAAAAAAAAAATTATATATGAACATCATGATATGAACAAATCACTAGAAATAGTTTGCCGTGCACTGAATTACAACCGTGCATCGCCCAAGGATCTGAGCTAGCTTTACCACGAGATCCATGCAAATGAACGGCCTGGTCAGACACGATCGCGACCCACGCCGGTGGTCCATCGAAAAGACTTAAACCTTTTTCGACGCATAGAGAGGGTCTATTCGATTCTACTACGACGGATATCAATTTGTGCATGTCGCCCTTGATCGGAATAAAATGTCTTTAAAACGAGAGATGCGAGAGTGATGGAATTCATTTGGTTCCCTCTAAAGTCATAATCAGTTACTATCAATTTCCTGGCCAACTTTTCCCTTCCATTTCACATGGACATGAACACATAATACCTTCCCAGCTGAAACCTACGCAAACCGGTCAACTCAATGACTCTTTCGGAGTCCAGTGATCTGAAAAAGATACTTTGCCTAAACTGGTTGGACTTCCTTTCCTAAATACACCGAAAATATTTGCAAAAATGCAAAAAAAAATTGTCATAACATAGGGAAGATGGTAGGTTATCTGTATACAGATAAACCTTTCCATGTAAGTCAGTGTTTTTTTTTTTTTGGTAACCGAGATGTCCGGACCAGTTTACGCGCACCTCGACTATTCCTCGGGGGAGATTAGCACAGCAACCCACCGTCATGGCCCCCCACTTAAATCACAAGTGCTCAGCTGGGGAATTGTTTTCTTTATATATTTCAATTTCCATTATTGAAAGGATCGTATATTTGGAAATCGAAATCCATTCTTCCCATATTACTATATCAATACAAACCTTCCGTGCAAGTGAATTTGTTTTCTTTCTATGTGTAAGTAAGTGTTTTTGTTATTGTTGGCATAGAATTGACCCAAGTAAGATTTGAAAACAAAGGGGACCAAAAAGATACAAAGAAAAACAAGAATCTTACAGAAATATGCGAACATAGCCTTTGTCTTATAAAAAGTGTAAGACGAGATGTTTTTGGCTCTATAGCAGCATACACACAAAGATTATGAACTTCCCTTGGAGTTATAGTTGAAGCACCAAAATGATCTCTTAACCACTAGTTGACTAAGGATTCTACAGTAAGCCTAGAAAGAACTACTGTAGACACATCTACAAAGCTTTATCATAGGACATCAATCTTAATGGGTAGCAATCGAAAGGATCGTACCCGGAAGCAGCTCGCACGACAAATGCGGGATCGGGTCTACCAATCTACATGTATATTTTGGGAGACCCGACGATACAGGCGTCGAATATGGTAATTTTTTTTTTTTGGAATTTTCCACCGGTGCCTAGGCTGTTTTGCTTGAATTGATCAAGGAGACTTGGTAAAGTACGTAATTGTCATGTCAAGCAATATATTACTCGATTTATGATGACAGAAGGTTCTTGCAAACAAGGTAAGCACATCCTCCCAAGTCTCTCCTTATAGTATGCAACGCCTCTCTCTCTCTCTCTCTCTCTCTCTCTCTCTCTCTCTCTCTCTCTCATGCATTAACAAATTCACCAACACACCTCCTTTTCAAGAACCTCTCTCTTGACCCATTTATAAATACCAACTCATCATCAACTCAGCTCCACATCATACCATCGTCATTGTCTTTCATGCCTCTTCCTCCTCTCCTTCTTGAGTCATGGTGGTTCTAGCTCAAGGGGCGATAGACCACTTTACCCTCATCAAGACGTGCAAGCCGAGCGGCACCGTCTTTGATGGGACCCCGGTCATTGACCTGTCAAGGCCCGACGCCGGCGCGGCCATGGTCCGGGCGTGCGAGGAGTTCGGGTTCTTCAAGGTGGTGAACCACGGGGTCTCGCCGGAGGTCATGAGCAGGCTGGAGGACGAGGCGGTGAGATTCTTCGGCTTGCCGCAGTCCGATAAGGACAAGGCCGGTCCTCCCGACCCTTTTGGCTACGGGAACAAGCGGATTGGCCCGAACGGCGACATTGGCTGGATCGAATACCTCCTCCTGCACGCCAATTCTAGTGAGCATGATAAGAAACTGTCTCTCCCCTTTTCTCAGGGAAACCAGCAATTTTTCCGGTAATTATATATTACATCAATTTTCACATGCATTAGTTTCTCAATAATTCACGTTAAATAGCTTATCTTTTTCGGCAAAATCCTTTTTTCTCTCAGTTTATCAAAGAAATTTTTCTGTAATTCATGTACTAATAAGTTTTCATGTGTCTTCGATTATATATAAGCTTTTTCATTTATTTTTTATTCTCATCTCAATTTAAAATATGAACGATATATATATATATATATATATCCATTATATTTCGCTTTTGAAATTCTCTCATTTGTATTTTTCATTTATCTTTCGTTTTTCGCTATCATTAATGCAAGCGCATAAATTAGCACAATCTGATACACCTACCTTGTCAAGTACACAAATCCACTTTTTGATCCATTAATACGATCTTTAAAATGTTAATGGGGGTCAACTTCAACGATACCAAATTAAATATCCGCCTGCTTATTTAATCAACGGGCACTAATCAATCAATTTATTTTTATCTTGGTTACAAAAATACAAAAATATAGATGTGCGGCGGAGGATTTCGTGAGAGCAGTGAAGGAAGTGGCGTTCCGAGTGTTGGAATTGATGGCCGACGGGCTTGGGATCGAGCCGAGGGACGTGTTGAGCGGCATGTTGAGGAGTGAGGCGAGCGACTCGTTCTTCCGGCTGAACCACTACCCGCCGTGCCCGGAGCTGCAGGCGTTTAGCCCGAGCGGTCGCAACTTGGTCGGGTTCGGGGAACACACCGACCCGCAAATAATTTCTATCCTGAGGTCCAACAACACGTCGGGCCTCCAGATATGCCTCCGGGATGGGGCTTGGGTGTCTGTCCCGCCGGATCACTCCTCCTTTTTCGTCAATGTTGGTGATTCTTTGCAGGTACTCTTTGGTTTTCCTAGTCTGAGTTTTTCCTTTTGTTATCCCTTCGTAAACTTCTTGGGATCTGCATGAGTTCTTTCACACCGTGAACATCAGATTATATAGATACCCGTTTGCACTTGTTCTTGTTAAGTTGATTGGGCTGTATACGAGGGTAATAGAAGAAAAGAGCACCTAAGAAAGTAGCGCGGTCCAGACTTTCGACGCGAATTCTGATATCATGTCGGACGATCATTGTGTTGCAAGGGAAAAAAGTATATAATTATGGCATAAGTTCTAGTTAGGGCCACTTGCAGCGTACAAAACGCGTGAGATTCATGTCCTTTGCACTTTGGCATTGGGTTCTTCCACTTCTCGATGATTGTGATTCACTCAAGACGTGGACATTAGCCCCATTTCGTCTCGCAAAAGTTATTCATTGGGCCAAGTTCATATACCATGTCGAGTCTCGGACACGTGGGACCCACATAGGATCCCTCGATCTCGATGGTCTAGATTCAAACTCAGTATATATGAAACTCGAGCAATAATTTCTTGTCTCACTCGCTCACTCTTTCAAGTCGGGGATGTTTTGTTACTGCCTTTCCATTCTTATGTTTGACAAGGTCTTGTTTGGTGGGTGTGTGTGTGTGGGGTTCCATTGATTTCAGGTATTGACCAATGGAAGGTTCAAAAGTGTGAAGCACAGGGTGCTGGCTGATCATGGGAAATCAAGGTTCTCAATGATATACTTTGGAGGGCCAGCTTTGGATGAGAAGATAGCACCTTTGCCCTCCCTGCTGGCAGAGGGGGAGAGCAGCTTGTACAAGGAGTTCACATGGTCTGAATACAAGAGATCTGCTTACAAGACTAGGCTGGCTGATTACAGGCTTGGGCTCTTTGAAAAACCAAGGGTCCAGTGATTACTTTTCTTGTTCAAGATTCAAGAAAAAGCAAAAAGTTTACCCCCATTGGAGCAAAATCATTTACTAGGGTTTTTCTTCTCTTTGAAGTTATTCCGCTGGCCATAGGATTGAAAGCCAAGCAGGGGTTTGATTGTTTCTTTCTTGTTTGGTTTCTTCTTTGCCAACCATTTTCTCATTAATTAGGGTTTTGCTCATCTCCTTTTCCCCAAATAAGGATATGAGGATATAGTGTAATTTCCATCACCTGAACTGAATTGCTCCTCCTTTTACACACCCTCTCATTGTGGACCTAGCATATGCAGGAACTCAGATTCTTTAAATGATGAGGGTAAATGACCAAGGAAGATGTGCTCTCTGGTATCCTGCTTTATATGGAAGTCCTTAACTTAAGAATGTAAGCTGTTGAATGGTGGAGGGCACATGTATCTGATTGTGTGTCGACCGAAGGGGTGGCGATATCGACAAGTTCCGAAAAGACATGAATTGACATGGGTTTAACGTTCGATGTTTTTCTAGCATGTTTACTATGTAGAAATATGAGGTTTTGCGGTAACATGACTGACCGAACACGAATTGCCAATCCTAGTTTAGCGCGATGCCATCGAATCCATTATCAAGGTTATATCTAAATAGGTTACTAAAAACTTGAAGGTGAACACATTTGCGGGTTTAGAAACAGATAATCGATTGCGATGATAGTTGCTTGCAATAATCTCAAATGGTACGTTTTGAAACTGAAATGCGGCTTCATTTTGTAACGTATATAGTTACTGTAAGAGCTGACTCAAAGTTCCTTAACACATATCATTAGATACTAGTGTTAAACCAGATGTATAAGATTCTTTCTCTGCAGGGAGAGCTGGCAATGATTTAGCCGTCGTTTTCGAATTGGACCAATACTTTGATACGTCAACATTTTCCTTCCATCAAAATCTTGGGTTCTCTTGCTTTAAGTTCGAGCTCATAGCCGAAGGATTATAGTCCCCACTTCCTCTCTCTCTCTCTCTCTCTCTCTCTCTCTCTCTCTCTCTCTCTCTCTCTCTCTCTCTCTCTCTCTCTCTCTCTCTCTCTAGATTTCTAAATCTTGAAAGTGAAATGTGTTGCTTTCTTTCCATATTTTTTTCGTTTTTGAAATATGTTGCGGTTGAAAGTGCCCATAGTCTCAATTATTGACTTAACCATCCAAGTCCCATCTGCATTATTACTCCATAAATCGAGTCTATATTCAAGCCATGAATCTCAATTACAAATCATAAAGATTTTGCATGAGATTCACCCAATTCGATCAAACGCTACGAACGGTGGCCATTCAATATGCCAGCACATCTGTTAAGATTTTGCGAGTGCTTGATTACGAGCCGCTTTGATCTTGGATTGGAGTTATAATACGTTGTTCGAGAAGAAGCTACTGTTTCATCCAGTATGTGGAAATGGAAGCACATCCTCCTGCCCATCAATCTCAAAGAACCGCGTCCGCATTTCAACGTTGCTCTCAAGCTGTCTTTTCGCTTCACTCTATTGTTAAAGAAAAATTAAGATAATCTTTCCCAAGTGATGCAATAATTAATTACACCAAGTTACCGATTGTTTCGTTTTCATGAAAAATGAAAAATTTGAAAATTATTTTCCTAAAAATAATCGTTTGTATCACTGGAAATAATCAGTTGATGAAAAATGTTTTCATTATCGATAAATCAAAAATATTTTCACGGATGATGAAAATAGCTTTCGTTCATTCATTTTTATAAGCAATATAAGCGATCATTTTTTAAAAAATATTTTTCAAATCATGCATTTTTCACGAAATAAATGGAGCTTAAGTTACAGAGGACTTTGCTGCAGTTAATTAATCATATGTAATTTCGCTTGCTAAAATGGAAAGAAGAGCTCAACCTTCAGCTCCAAATTTTTTTTTTTCAAACATAGAGGAGGCGTAACTGCCTCAATTAATGTTTTTCTTATTTTAAATCCATAGGCAATATTGTGTCAATATTTTAATTTTTGGTGCGATATTAGAATACTATGAACAACAACATACACGGAAAAGAGGCAGCTCCCACTCGCTTTTATTGGGAACCAATTGAACTGACCAGGTCTAATCGCGAATTCAATTGATAAGAACAGGACATGTAACAACGGTCACGTGCTCACTAGTCAAGTCTGTCTAAAATGTACGACCATCCTCAGCTCTTAGGCCTGACCTTTTTTAGATTTCCAATTTATTTTTGTACCGGAAAAGATGCATACCCCGAGCAGGCGATCGATCAGATAAAATTGCACGAGAGAATAAACAGATCACCACGACCCATTGAAGATCGAGGATTGAACCCTAAATCGATAATCAATGACCCTGGAAGGCAACATTTTCTTTTTGATTATTCTAAACGAGAGATAATTATCCAAAAAGTCATAAACCTATTGTACGGCGACTAATTCAGTTTTAGACATTTTAATTATACTAATATTGTCCTAAATCTTTTGACAACCTGTTAATTTAGTCGTAAACGTTTCAATTGTGCCAATTTAGTCCAAAATCTTTTGATGATTTATCAATTTAGTTCTAAACCTTTTGAAAACTTGCTAATTTAGTCATTTCGACTAATTTTGGCTAAAAATCGCTGACATAGATGTTTGCTGGCCGCCGACCATCTTACGAGGTGTGGCCGGCATTGACGTTGACTGATTCAACATTTTAAAAAAAAATACTTCCCCCTTTTTTTCCCTTTTCTTTTTCCTTTTCTTTCCCTTTGGCTTGTGGTTTATACTCGGCCATGCTTGGTGACAGCTCAACCCTTGCGGCCTGGGTGAGGGTTGCCCTCTTGACCTTAGGCGAGGGTCGCAATGCCCTGGCCGGCCCTAGCCTGTGGCCGATCGCCAACCATGACCAAGTACTGGCCACAGGCGAAAGGGAAAGACAAGAAAAAAGGAAAAAAAAAAGAAAAGAAAAAGAAATTTTTAAAAAATGCAAAATTTGTCTACGTCAGCGCCGACCACACATGTAGGATAGCCAACGGCTGGCAGACATCCACGTTAGTAATTTTTGACTAAAATTGGCCGAAAGGACTAATTTGGTAAATCTTCAAAAGTTTTATGACTAAATTGATAAATTATCAAAATGTTTATGACTAAATTGGCACAATTGAAAGGTTAATGACTAAATTGATAAGTTGTCAAAAAGGTTTATGACTAAATTGGTACAATTAAAAAGTTTATGAATATTTGGAAATTAAAATCCATTCTTTCCATATTACTATATCAATATAAACCTTCCACGCACATAGGGGATGTTGAAGTATTATCCCAAATCGCTTGTTAACAGATCCTAAATGCTCTTTATATTCATGTGGTCTTCCTCTACAAAATAGCTTAAGCTTTTGGGTTGAAATTTCTAATGTAATGTATGCGAACACTATTTCAAAGGATAATTGTTTAAAAAGTCCTAAATCTATTATATGGTGGCCAATTATATCTTTAACTTTTGATTTGGTAAATTTAGTCCTAAATCTTTTGACGATTTGTCAATGTAGTCCTTCCAGTTAATTTTGGCAGAAAATCGATGATGTGGATGCTGACCATCCCACATGGCACGGCCAGCGTTGATGTAGATAATTGTTGCAATTTTTTAAAAAAGTTTTTTGATGTTTTTATATAAATTTCTTAATTCTTTCTTTTCGTTTCATTGTTCTTCTTCTCCAAAGGTCTAGCAATAGTCACCAGGGCCTCGGCAATGGCCATTGAGGGCCGCGATGTCCTCATTTTGCTAGATCTGTGCAAGGCGATGATTGTCGCGTCTCTCATTAGCCGCTACATGCAAATCTTGGTAATATTCAAAAGAAATTTCCATTCTCATTGCGTGTATCTGCAAATCATTAATCAATCAGTTGTACTAGCACGTCACGTGTGACAAGCACATCAAGCAATGAAAATTAAGCTCACTTAGTTACACCTTGGATTGACTTCTCAGGTTACCCTCAGCAACCTTTCATAATTCCCCATACTATACCCTCACTTTATCTTCATAAGGCAGAAGGAGGGAGAGCGAGAGACAGGCGAGGTGGCAGGCGGTCCTTGTCACCACCATGATCCTTTGAGTCCCACTCTCACTTGGGGTTGCACAACCTTGGCATTGGCATGGTTAGGGTTGGGGTTGGGGTTGGGGACCCTAGCTGAAAACTAATCTCCCCTAAGTCGCTAACAACCTTAAGTGAGCCGGAGGCATTTCTTGGCGTCCCACGACCTTGGCAATTTGTCGCCTGGAGTCATGGAACCCTAGCTTCGACATGGTTGGGGTTGTCGACCCCGGCACCGATGTGTCTGGGGTTGTGTCTACCGTCCCTGATGAGGCCAGCCCACTACCCTTTGATCAGTCTGTGCACTCCTCATTTCTAGTTCTTTTTCTAGTTTTCACTTTGTAAGTTGTGTCACAAACTATTTTATGTATAGATCCCTAAACATTATTTGCCTTTGGGTAAAAATACTTTGAATGAAGGTTCCTTTTGTCAATCCAAATTCCTAAAACTAAAGTATTTCCCCTCCCCAGAGGAGAGCTGAAGCTCGAGGATGAGTAAGTCCTGAATAAACTTACCCTAAAAACCCTAGGTACACCGTTTTTTTCTCACAATAATTATTGAAAGAGTTTTCTCACTGACAAACTCTCTAAAGTTATCAATGAGTTTCACTTGACGTAAAAGTCGAAATTAGGTTTGAAATGGTGTTGTTGAAAAAGTTGCCCATGTTTCTAGATGCCAACCTGAAGTGGACCGAATTTTTAGATTAAATCCATATTTCCGAGGACACGACCCAAGCGTTAGCATTATTTTTGTTATGCGCCTAGAACTACAGTCGAACTTCCAATCATGTGTGACCAAAGCCATTTTTTGACACTCGCAAGTTTCTGCGTTATGATAGAATCACATCGAGTGTGAAGTTGTGCTAGATGACCATCCGCAGATATTTGATTTGATTCACCGACTCGATCATAGCGATCTTAATATCGGGTCATTCCTTTTCTTTATCAAATAACCTAACAACGGCTAATTGGGGTAGTCAAAACACCCAAGTGAGTGTTGACTCATCCTGGGATTGCGGGTTGGTCTTGTAAATCGTTTTCCCTTTGTGTGTAGGGTTGTGGTATAACCTAGTTTTTGCCCTTGATGAGAAAAGCCACTTCAACGAAGGACGAAGCCCAAAGCCCCACCCAAAGCTGCAGTTCATTTCGGTTTTACTATTAGGGTACACGAAGTAGAGTACCCTTTGATGAGATTTTGTACTAACTTGTTCTCTCAAAATCGAAACACGTCGCAAGTACTCTTTACCATATTTGGAAAACTATCTGCGGTGCTTTTATTGTTGCCCCCCAT